AATGAATTGTATGTTTTAAAACTTGTATTTTTGCTCCAAGCCTAACAGAAATATTATGTTCAATTGTGAAACTTACGTGCCTTTTAACAGTGCCAGAGAATAAAAAGAACTTTATTTGGCCTCCTATATTTAAAATGTTCCTTTGTGAGTCAGACCCAGAAAGACAAACGTAAACTAATAAATTGCTTCACTTGTATCATTTGTCACTTTCATCTAGTTTACATTTTGTTGGTCTTTTGAGGGTCATGGTCATCACACTGCTCAACTAGCTTCTTCAACTTGAATGCGTTCCTGATTTTTTTCCATGTTTCATAAATGCTTGCCCAGAACTTGACCTGTAGATAATCTCACTTCTTACCTGAATAGTCAATTATTGCTCATCACGTTTCCCTCTAAGCTCAGCCTTAATGACCACACAACTAAATGACCACTGCCCTTCAGTTAGTGCGTTTAAAAAAAAAAAAAAGCTGTTTTACTACAAAATCTACGTTTCCCTTACTAGGTAAGCTAATTGTTTTTTAAAGAAAGGGAACTATGGCTACAAGAAAAAAATGCTTTCATTCAGAAAGGCTTCCCTTCCCCACCACCCACCCCCTCAGCAAAGTATTTTGTCACTATCCTGAAAAGTGCACTAAAAAAACAAAACAACAATCTAATCGGATAAAACGTATTTCTGGAACTTTTGGGATGGGTCAATTACGCTCTAATTTCAGGTGCCAGCCTAACAAAGTGGGCACCCTCATTTTGTATCGTATTACTTCTGAATTTGTCATAGTGCCTTGTAAATGGTGATACTGTATTTCGAAGTGATTCGAATATTTTCTGCATCAGCAGGAGCTGACCACATGAAGGAGATAAATATACCTCTCCTTGGAAGCGTGGAGACTTAGAAAACAGAATTCTATCCCCCATTGCTGAGAATATAATTTTTCTGGGCAGATAGCAAAGAAGAGCTGGGCCTACCCCTAGGGGCATGTCTGGCAAAAGGCTGATAGCCAAAGGTGTACACAGCCTGTACTGCCCTTCACCCTCCCAAGTCAGTTCTTCAAGAGGACACACAGGAAGGCTGGCAGACCACAGGTGTCCATGCCATGCACTTTCTTACTTCCAGCCTATTAATGCATCTACATTGTGACGGGTCTCCAGGACATGGGCTACATAATCTAATAGGACCAGAGTCCCTCTGGAGTCTGTTCCAGCAGAGAGATCCCGCACAGCAATAAGGGATTTGGTGGAGCACCTGCTTGGACCAGGCAATCTTCATAAACAGTCTGTGAGGTTGGCATTATTATCCCTGTTTTACAGACAAGGGCATAGATGCTCAGCAATTTGGTGACTTGTCCAGAACCCCTCAAGTAGTAAATAATAGAGGTGGGATTTGAAATACTTGAACAAAGAAGCAAGAAGTCGAAAGCTCCCTTATTGTAAACTCCAAGGTGGTCCAGTTCTTAAAGTCAAAGATGGTCAGACTCGCTGTCTGGGAGTGGGCGGGAGGGGGCGGTGTCCCATGGAATAGGAGGGTTCTACAGGTAAGCCAGGCTGGCTCCTCAAATGGTAACACCCAGGCAGGCCGCCATGCTTCCCCAAACTGACAAGGTATTTGCTTAACACTTGATGTATGGTGGAAAGGGAGATAGATAATATGTTCCCAGAGGACCCAATGGTTACCGTCTGCCTATGGTTGACTTCTGAATCATTGTAGGTCTCATTGAATCAAGGGTCAGAGCCCAGGTGGGGTGCCATAGTTGAGGGCAGCATATAGGTGGTGGGGAGGCCTACTGACCATGGCCACCCCAGGCTCATAACAGAGCATCCCTATGGTGACTGCTCAGTACACCCCTGAGCTGTGTCAATGCACATGCCCAAGTCTTGCTCTTCAGGTCTCTCTTTTCTAGGCTGCATACAGACCTATCTATCCCCTTTCCGCACATTGTAATCACAGGGAGGCTTTAAAATAGATGAGTGCTTGGGCCCCAGCCCCTCCCACCAAAGGAAAACACCATTCTGACGTCTCTCATCATAGATTAGCTTTGCTTGTCTTTGTCCTGTATTTAAGGGAATCATATGGTATGTGCTCTTTGGCTCAGCACTGTTTGTGGGATCATCCACATCCTCAGGTGTGGTTATAGATTATTCATTCTTGTTTTATGGTATTCTGTTGTGTGGACATACCACACTCTGTGGTGGATGGCCATTTGGGTTGCTTCTAGTTTTTGGTTCCTAGGAATAGTGCTGCAATGAACATTCTAGTTTGTGACTTTGGGTAAACATATGAACACATTTTGGTTGGATCTAGACCTAAGAGTGAATTGCTGAGTCACGGAGTTTGTATATGTCCAGTTTTAGTAGATTCTGCCAAACAGTTTTACAGAATGATTGTATGAGAGTCTCCCATTACATTTTTTTTTTTTAATCCTTACCCGAGGACGTTTTTTTCCTCGATATTTTGTTCAGATAGAGTGTGAGGAAGGGAGGGAGGGAGAGAGAGAGAGAGAGAAACATTGATGTGAAAGGGACACATCGAGTGGTTGCCACCCACATGACCCGACCAGGGCCGGGGACAAACTGCAAACAAGGTACATGCCCTTAGCAGGAACTGAACCCGGGTGTCTCCGGACTGTAGACCGATGCTCTAACTGCTGAGCCAAACCGGCCAGGGCTCCCATTACATTTTGATTTATCCTAGTTTCTCTCTAGGACTATTGCCCAGATTCCGAGATCCTCCACATACTCCCTGCCACCTGAAAGATAAGTGTCTTACTTGAGACTTCCAGCGGCAGGGCCGAGGCCCACCAGCCTCCCAGCTTCATGTGTGTTCTTCACTGACACTGAGCACCTCTGCTTGCAGAGTACTGAGCTTGGGGCAAGGAGGAGACAGAAGACATAGAAGGCTGCAATCCTACTGGAGAAGAAGGATGGGAAAGACACTGACAGGGAAGGGGACTTGGAAGGCACAGCAGCACTTCTTCTGGCTGTGGGCTGATGGAGGCCGAGAGAGCAGTGGGAAGACACTCAGGCCCAGGCTAGCCAATAAGCCCTGCTGACCTTGAGCCGGGTCACTTGATCTCCCTAATCCTCAGCCCACTGTCTTCGTCATGATGGGCTTGGCTATTACAGCATTAGTTCTGTGATTTATGGGCCATCTTTGATAAACCAGGCATGATGGGGATTTAGAGCTGAAAAGGACATAATCCCTGCCTTCTAGAAGCACACAGTCTCATCATACATAGAAATCCTCCTCACTGATCCAAGATGGAGGCGGAGTAGGTGGAAGTTACCCTCATCTCCTCCCAGAACCAAAACAAAATTATAGAACAATCCACTTGAATAACCAGAGGAACTAGCTTAACAGAAGTCTTATGACCAAGGATTTACGAAAGAAGATACATCGAAACTGGCAGGAAGGGTGGAGACAAGAAGAGGCTTGCCCCACACGTGCGGCAGTGGAGAATCTGGACAGAGATCTCGCTGCAAAGGTCCCACTGGGGCACCAGTGCTGGGAAGAGGAACTGTGAAAATGAGCAGGGATTTCATCCACCAAGGAGAGAGAGGCGTCTGCTAGAAACCCAGGTGCCCTCCTAAAGGGCCAGCTCACAAAATCACATTCTCAGGTACTCACTCTGGGCTCCAGTGGAGGGGACGGAGGCTCAGCCACCACTGTCCCTGTGTTGAGTCCCTCTCCCACACCACCCAAAGATGTCATCTTTCCTGGATTGAGCATGGAATTGCCCTGACCAGGAATCAAACTGGCAACCTCCTGGTGCATGGGTCAACGCTCAACCACTGAGTCACACCAGTCAGGCAAAGAGAGACTCTTAAAAGCATCAAGAGAGAGACAGTTACCTACAAGGGAGCTCCCATAAGATTGTCAGCTGATTTCTCAAGATAAATATTTCAGGCCAGAAAAAATTAGCATGAAACATTCAAAGTGATGAAAAGCAAGGACCTACTACCAAGACTACTTTACCCAGCAAGGCTAGTTTTTTTAAATTGAAGGAGAAATAAAGAACTTCCCATACAAGAAAAAGCTAAAGGAGTTTGTTCCCACCAAACCAGTATTACAAGAAATGTTAAAGGATCTGAAAGAAAAGGAGAAGGAGGAAGAGGAGGAGAAAAAGAAAAAGGAAGAGGAGGGGGGAGGAGGAGGAAAAAAAGAAGGAAGAAAGAAGAAAGAAGGAGGAGGAGAAGAAGAAACAGAGGAACATAGTTAAAAGAATAAAATGGCAATAAACACATACCTATCGATAATCACTTTAAATATAAGTGGATTAAGTGCTCCAATCAAAAGACACAGGGTAGCTGAATGGATAAGAAAACAAGACTCATATATATGCTGTCTATAAGAGACCCACCTCAGAAAGACAGACACACACAGAATGAAAGTAAAAAGATGGAAAAAGATATTTCACACAAATGGAAATTTTAAAAAGCTGGGTAGCAATACTTATATCAGACAAAATAGACTTTAAAACAAAGGCTATAATAAGAGAAAAAGAATGACATAACATAATGATAAAGGAATCAATCCAACGAAAGGATATAACCCTTGTAAACACTTATACTCAACACAGGAGCACCTAAATATATAAAGCAAATATTGAGGACATAAAGGGAGAGATTGACAGTAATACAGTCATAATAGGAGACTTTAACACCCCATTGATATCAATAGATCAATCTTCCAGACAGAATACCAACAAGGAAACAGTGCTTTAAATGACACACTAAACCAAATGAATTTAATTGACATTTTCAGGGCATTTCACCCCAAAGCAGCAGAATATACATTCTTTTCAAGTATGTCAATAGACATATGAAAAGATGCTCACTATCACTAATTATTAGAGAAATGTAAATTAAAACCACAATGGGTTCTGGCTGACCCATTTGGCTCAGTGGTTGCAGTGTAGGCTGGCAGACCAGAGAGTCCCAAGTTCGGATCCCATTGGGGACACATACCTCAGTTGCAGTTTGTCTCTGGCCCCGGTTGGGGTGTGTGGGTGGCAGCCAGTCGATGTGTCTCTCTCACATCAACGTTTCTCTCTAAAAAACAAAAAAACCCACAATAGAATATTACCTAACACTTGTCAGAGTGCCTACCATCAATAAATCCATAAACAATAAGTGTTGGCAAGGGTGTGGAGAAAATGGAACTCTCATGCACTGTTGGTGCAAATACAGGATGGGTGCAGCCACTATGGAAAACAGTATGGATTGTCCTCAAAAGATTAAAATGGAACTGCTTTATGACCCAGTGATTCCATTTCTGGGTATATATCCAAAGACACCATGGCTGCAGAGTCCATGAGTCCACCCTTCCCTAGAGGATCATAACCAGGATGGCAATTTGGGTATCCAACCTTGTGCATGGGACCAACTCACCAATCTGCGGGCAGAGAGAGGCTCTGTGGTTCTTTGCTCACCTGTTACCTTGGAGATGGCGTTTTCTCTTGGCCTTTCTTCTTGATCCTGTAAAAGAGCCAGAGTTCCTTCTACCTTGGGCCCAAGTGTTCATTCAACAACTGTTGGCCAGCTCCCTGCATCTGCCTGAACTGGACTTGGTGCTCACTGGTATACCTTGGGGAGCAAGACAGATGGACAGTCTTCTTAGAGTTTACAATGCAGTCTAGAACAGGGGTTCTCTAACTGTGGTCCCCAGATTAGCAGCAGCAGCATCACCTGTGAACTTGTTAGAACTGCTAACTCTCCATCCCTACCCCAGAGCCCTTGAATCAGGAACTTGGCTTAACAAGCTCCCCAGGTGATTCTAACATTCTAAAGTTGAATCACCGATCTATAGCATTGGGTTCTCAATGAGGGCAGCTCCCACCCCCCTCACCCCTTGAGAACATTTGGCAGTGTCTGGAGACATGTTTGGTTGTCACAACTGGGGAAGGGGGGTACTGTTGGCTTCTAGTAGGTAGAGGCCAGGGATGCTGTTAAACACCCTACAATGCACAGGACAGCCCTCACGGCAAAGAATTAACTGGTCCAAAGTATCAGTTGTGCTGTGGTTGAGAAACCCTGCCCTACAGGAGGTACAATAGAAGGCAGAAAGTGCTGTGACTCTTTTCTCCTTTTGTTCTGATTGTGTTGCAGTCTGGGAGAGGTACTTCCCCCCAGGTCCGCCTTAGTTTCCCCAGCTATGAAGTGAAGGGGTTGGGCTCAAGGATGCTGAGTTTCTTTCCAGCTTGGGTGCTCTTTGGCTCCAACCAAGCGACTGGTCTGACCCCTGGAAGTTGGGCCGATGCAGCCTCTTCTTCTTAGGTGCCAAGTGGCAGGGAGGGGCCGTGGAGAAAGGAGGGCTCTGTCACCCGACTAGTGCTACCGCCTCCCCAAGCCAGGCGGCTGCTATCAGAGTCCAGCTGGCCTTGGGTTTCCTGGTGAACAGTCCCTTCTCTCCACGGTGGGAGATGTTTGCTTCCACCGGCCCAACCCCAAGGAGCCCACGCGGGGGAGGGAAGAAAGCCACCAGCTGGCCCCGCACACTCACCTGCTTTGTGCAGGGAGCTGGGCAGGCAGAGCAGCTCCTTCTCCTGAGCCTCAAACCTGCACTTCTCATCCTCTAGCAGCAGCCCTGGCAGGGACTTCCGGAGGCCTGAAGGCAGCAGCCACAAAGCCCGAGACCCTCCACCCCCGGTGGTGGGCGGTTCGGTTCTCACTTCCAGCCCGGGAGCTCAGGGGCGCGGTTAAACAGAGTGACCGAGCTCTGATTGGTCGAGCTCCCAGGCCCCGCCTCTTCTCGCTGCCCCGTCACCTCCCATTGAACTTCTGCTCCAATGGGACAGGAAGAGCAGGGTCTTGCTTGTTCTTTCTCTCTTCCCCCTGAAGCTGTGCAGGCCTAGGAGCAACGCTGGGGCAGACGGCCGAGGCTCCCGGACCGCCGTGGCCCGCCTGGCTCTGAGGTTTGAGGCTCAAAACAGATGCGGAGGGGAGACAGGAAGGGCGGGGAGGGGGGGGACGGGCAGCGTGCTTAGTGACAGGGAATGAATGCTTTGGCTACAAATTCTAATCCTCCCAATTGCAGTGTGATTTGGGACAAAACCTTGTCTGCCCTGATTGTCGCCTTAAATACATGAAAAGCAAAGTCAATGTTGATGAATGTTAGCGCCTTATTGGATGGGTTTGCATGGCCCGTGGCTTGTCACATCCCTTGAAAACCCACTGGCAGAGTCAACGCCTGTTACAGAGGGTTAACCTAGAACACCTTACTTCGTGTGCACGTAATACCCGCTATTAACTAACGGGGATGCCCTGGCCGGGTGGCTCCGTTGGTTGGAGGGTGATCCTGTACACCAAAAGTTGTGGGTTCAATCCCTGGTCGGACGTGCACGGGAGGCAACTGTTTCTCTCTCCCTCCCTCCCATTCTCTTTCTCTAAAATATCAATAAAAACGTATCCTCGGGTGAGGATTAAAAATGTCAATAAATAGCTAGTGGTTACCGCGTGCCAAATTAGCATGCTGTGGTAACGGCCTGTGTGTGGGGACTATTTCTGAGGCCTCATGTTTCTCTGAAGGGGGACTTCTCAGAAGCTTCTCTCCACCCTGTGACTCCATCAGGACACACTAGGGTGGGTTTCCTAGTGGGTACCCCCCTGCCTCAGTTTTGGTTTCTGGGACAGTCAGGTGGCTGTGCTGAGGCCCCAACTGAGACCCAACGCTTTCTCCTTCCATCGGTCCTAACTTCGCCATGTCCTGCAGAACCTCCTTGGCTCTGGCATGGGGACCGTGTCCATGCACATCTTTCTGAACATGAACCTCTGCCGGTTACTTCCCTGGAGCTGTGGAAGGTGAGGGGCTAGAAGATAACAAGGATGGCCAGTCTTCCTAGTATTGGGGTGCAGGAACTAAGTAAGCTCTTCTTTCTTCCCTTCTGAGAACAAAGACTGGAGTCAGGCAAACGGGATTAAAACCACTTACATGAAATATAATAGGCAAATCTATAAACAGAAACTAGATTAGTGATTGCTTAGGGCCTGGCTGGGGGCATTAAGGGGTGGTGATAGTTAAGAGACAGGGTCCCTCTTGCTGTGGTGAAAATGTTATGAAATTGTGGTATGGTTGCACAAATCTGTGAGTAGACTAAAAATCATTGGGTTGTACACTTTAAATGGGTGAATTATATAATGTGTAGATTGTATCTCAATAAAGCTGTTAAAAACCAGCTGAGCCCTGGCTGATTTGGTTCAGCGGTTAGAGCATTGGCCCGCAGACCGGAGAGTCCCAGGTTCGGTTCCCACTAAGGGCACGAACCTCGGTTGCAATTTGTCCGCAGCCCTGTTGGGGTCGTGTGGGTGGCGACCAGTCAATGTGTCTCTCTCATATTGATGTTTCTCTCTCCCTCTTCCTCCCTCTATCCCTCCCACTCTATCTGAAGATAAATGCAAAAATGCACTCGGGTGAGGATAAAAAAAGAAAAAATAATTTAAAAAAACAACTGAGATGTGTGGCCATGTTTGGGCTACCTGACACTCCCTCCCACCCACGGGATTGAACTTTACCTTCCAGCACTTCAGACCTCGCCCTTGCCCCTTACCCACATCCCAAGGAAGGACCCTCTGAGAGAGACACAGCAAGGGGCTGAGCCCACCACGCAGAAGTCACTGCTCTTCCCACGGAGGAGGGAGTCACAGGGTAGAGAAGCTACTGGAACAGAAGCCCCACAGAGAAACATGAGGCCTCAGAAATGCACCCCCCACACCCAGGGGTATGTAGGAGCCAACTTGGGTTCCTATTTTCCCAAATTGATGAAAAATTTCATAGCTCAGAAGGATTATAGGTGATTTTTGTTGCTTTTTTCTGTTGTTTTCCAATTTTTCTATACTATGCTTATATTATTTTTTAGGTCAAGAGTACATAAAATTAAGGGTTAGGTGGGAGAGGTTAGGAGTATGGCATCTCCAGCCAGGGCTCAGGGCCTGCCTAGGTGTTCCCTGTGGCTAATGGACTGTCCCCCTCTGCAGGAGTCATGTGGCTGGAAATTCTCCTTGCCTCGGTGGTGGGCTTCGTCATCTACTGGTTCGTCTCCCGGGACAAGGAGGAAACATTGCCATTTGAAGAAGGGTGGTGGGGGCCTGGGGCGAGGCCCACAGCCCCAGAGGATGAGAGCATTCACCCTTTCAAGGTGGAAACATCGGACGAGGAGATCAATGTAAGCCCCTCTTTCCAGGCAGGGCTGAGCAGAGGGAAGGCAGGAAGCCCCTTCTGTGGTTTCCCTGAGACTGGGGTCAGGCCGTAGGCTGGGATGGGGGAGAGGCTTGAGAAATGGTCCCTCCTTGGGAGTGCCCAGGTGGGAGAGGGGGTGCTAGCTGGACCCAGCGGTCTCGCTTCCTTTGTGCCCCATCTGCAACTGGGGGAATGAGCTTGTAGGAGGAAGCCAGCAGGTTGTCATGTCCTGGGTGGAGATCCTGAGTGCAGAGCAGACTGTGGTAACATAAAATGCTGGAGCACAGAGAACCTGCTGCAGGGCCAGCAATGGTTAAGCACCTACTGTGTGCCAGCCAGTCCTGAGTAATCCTACATGGTGAGGTCTATTGTTCTCAGCTCAGAGAGGTGAAGCAATTCATCCAAGGTGACGGAGATCATACGTAGGATTTGGCCTCAGATTTGTCCAGCTCTAAAGCCTGTGTCCTTCTCTGCACAGGGCTGGAGTCAGGAAGGATGTGACCAGTGGGGTGGGCTGATCTGAGAGGCAGGCCCGAGCGGCTCCAGGAGGGTGGGTGGGACCTGGCATGTCCTCACCCATTCTTGCTTTCCTTCTGTGGGTACCTGAGTGCCTACTGTGTGCAGGCACTATGCTGAGTGCTTGAAAGACTGAGAGATTCTCCCCTCACATGCTCATAGTTCAGTAGTTGGGAAAAGAAACACGCACAGAGTTAACTAAAAGATTAAAAGGGATAAATGCCACAAGACGTGCCGAGAAAAACGTCACGCAGGTTCTGAGATAGAAAGGAGTGTTGAAAAGCAGAAACTGGGCTGCCTCCCTGAGAAAGCAGGTGCAACTCCCAGTAGGACTTGATATTTAGGACAGAAGCTGAGCCCTGAGGATAACTCCTTTAGTTGGGTCTTAGACTCAGAGCCTAAGAATTCCAAAATCTGTTTGGGGGTGACTCACATGCTTGGGGGGACACTCTGGGAAGGCTCCATGAGCTGACTTGAACTTCTCCCAGCCTGGCCTGGTCTCTTGGTCTGATGCACACCCATTAGACTTGCACCCTCTCTCCTGGTCTGTCATTTTTATCCCAACTGAATTATAATGTGTTCTTTAGTGCTATATATCAGAGTTGGCAAACCACACTTCATGTGCAACCCACCTGCCACCTGTTTTTATATAGCCCCCATGCTAAGAATAGTTCTTGTATCTTTAAATAATTGAAAAAAAAATCAAAAGAAGAACATTTTGTGACCTGTGAAAAGGATATGGCATTCAGGTTCAGGGTCCATAAATAAATTTTTACTGGAGCACAGCCACACCATTCATCCACATACGTCCGTGGCTGCTTCCACACTGCGAGGACAGGGTGGGGCAGCTGCAGCTTGGAAAACCTAAAATATTGGCCATCTGGCCCTTTACCAAAAGCTTTGCCAGCTCCTGTACATAGAAGTCTAGATTCACTACAGATGTGTATTGTTCATACATTTAAAAACTGAAGATGAGAAACAATCCTGAAGTCAAAGGTAAAGAACGTGGGCTTTGCGAACAGCCACTGTTTGGGAAACACAGAGGTTTGTTCTGCGTTAAACCTGACGCCCAGTCTCAGGACCAGGGGCCCCCTCACCCTCTGCAGCTTCGCGTCTGCAGAGCGCAGTGTCTGCTGGCTACAGGGTTGGCTCTGTCTTCCGAAAGAACTTTCTCCGTGCTCTGCCTCACCCACCCCTCTCTCCTTGGGGTCCTGCGTTTTGCTCTAGGATTTACACCGAAGGATTGAGAAGGTTCGTTTAACCCCACCGTTGGAGGACAGCCGCTTCCACTATGGTTTCAACTCCAACTATCTGAAGAAAATCCTCTCCTACTGGCAGACTGAATTTGACTGGAGGAAGCAGGTGGAGGTTCTCAACAGGTACCCTCACTTCAAGACTAAGATTGAAGGTACGTTTCCAAAACACCAGCTGGAGAGGGACTGTCATGGGAATAGCATTCTTAGACACTGGACATGACTTAGACAAAGCCGGGGAGACCTGGAATCCAGTTATTGGTCACTGAGATGTATTTAAAAGGTATAACCTCACAGGATACAAGAAGAATGCGAAATCCTGATAAATGCAACAGTTTGAGCCCAGATTCACATGCTCTCTGCTGCCCAGCCCCCACAGTGCTGTCCTGGCTGTCTCCCATCCCTGGGCCCAGCCAACCTTCAATGCATCTCTCTCAACCCCAGCCTGGGGTTGGTCCAAGAAGGCCTCCTTCTTCACCTCTATATGCTGCTGTCCTCCTCCCTCATGTTTGGGCCTTCAAAGTCCTCCCAGCCCCTACACTGACCCCGTGCTCTGGGCTGCTCAAGGCTCAACCTCTGACCCCCACCCCGATGTTCTGTCATCGTCCCCACTGGCCTCATCATTCATCCTCCTGGGTCTGTGGGGACCTTCTGGCTCTAGCCCCTGTTCTAGGCCTCCCACCACTGATCAGTCTCTACAGAGGCCTGTGGGGATGCCCAGCCCATCACTTCAGAGAGATGGAGCAATTGCCTAAGTCACAGGGATGTGGAGGTTCTGGACCAGGACTAGCTCTCCAGACCCCCAGCCTGTCCCAGCTCAACCCTAGGCCGTGACCTCATCCCACCCCCTCCCTTCACCACACCCCAGGCCCAGCACTGCCTCTGAACCCAACTTGGCTCCTAACACAGCAGCCTGGGCAGGGAGCATCCTGAGGGCCCCACAGACCCAGAGAGAAACCAAGAGAACATGTCCTCCTCAAAGAGCAAATTATGAGGGATGTGTTGTTAGCATTTTTCTTCATTTTGAAAATGTAAAGATTTAAAATTCAAAAAGTGCAGAAGGATACACAGTGACAAGAAGTCTCTTTCTGGGCCCTTTCCCCAGGGCTCAGCTCCCACCCTAGGGAGGGCCCGTGTGCACGCAAGCATGTATGGATATATGGGGTTTTTTTATTTATACCCAAATTATAATGTGATAAAACTTGACTTAAAAATAACCTCACATCATGCACTGTGCTCCAAAGGCGGTAAGATTACCTACTAAAAAAACTGTAGAATGGGAGTATATTTAGCATCATAGAAGGATGCCCAGGATATATTGTAAAGTGAAAGAAAAAAAAAAATAATAAGGTTCCAAAATAGAATGCTGTAGGGTCCTATTTTTGCTAAAAGGAAGTTATGTTCTCAGCATTTTGGAAAAGTCTGAACTGTCACAGCCAAGGGGAGCCTAAGGAGGCATGACAGCTAAATGTCACGTGTCCCGGGCGGGATCCTGGAACAGAAAAAGGACATTAGGTAAAAACTAGGAAATCTGAGTGATATTCCATTGCACATATATGCCAATAGTAGCCTTAAAAGGGAAGGAAATCCCGCAATATGCGACAACATGGGTGAACCTTGAGGACATCGCGCTAAGCGAAGTAAGCCAGTCACCGAAGGACAAATACTGTATGACTCCACTTCTATGAAGTATCCGAAGTGTGTCGGGTTCATAGAAGCAGAGAGAATAGTGGTTGCCAGGAGCTGGGAGGGGGGGGAGGGGCAGTAGAGGTGGAGTTAATAGATATAAAGTTTCAGTTATGCAAGGTGAATACTTCCAGAGATCGCAACACTGAGCCTATAGATAACAATATTACACACTGAATAGTCTGTGAAGAGGGTCGGTCTTATGTCAAATGTTATTAATACCATCATATTTAAAAAAGAAAAACTTGTAAGTATGGACTTCAGTTATCCATGTATCAGCACTGGTTCTTTCATTGTAACAAATGTATGGTCCCAACATCAGACGTTAGTAGTAGGAAAATGAACAGGAGGATGTGGGAACTTCCTGTGTTACCTTTACTATTTTTCTAGACATCAAAAATTGTTCCAAATTTTCAAATGTATTTTAAAAAGAGTTTTGACAGACAACACAATTTTCTCTTCGGAAAGTGGGATTACATGTGATTTTTTTTCACCTTTTGCTTGCTCTGTTTTCCGTTTTCTACCATAAATATGTATTATTGGTATCAGGAATTAACAATAGACCAGAACATCAGCTACACTGGGCTGTCAACTCCAGCCCTCATGGTGGGGGTTCCAGGTCTGACAGCAGCCTTGGCCTTGTTTGCAATGACCCCCTAGGTGCTCTCCAGGCCCCTCACTTGGGAAGGGGCTACCCTGTCTCTAGAGAAGCCTGGAATCCATCCACCTGCCCTGGCTAGGATGGTGTTCCAAGTGTCCATCACTCTTAAAAAAAAAAATGTCTCGCCCTGGCCGGTTTGGCTCAGCGGTTAGAGCGTCGGCCTGCGGTCCTGAGAGACCCGGGTTCGGTTCCCGCTAGGGGCACGTGCCTCGGTTGCAGTTTGTCCCCGGCCCTGGTCGGTTGTGCGGGTGGCAGCCACTCGGTGTGTCCCTTCACATCGATGTTTCTCTCTCTCTGTTCCTCTCTCTCCCTCCCACTCTACCTGAACAAAAAGTGGAAAAATGTCCTCGGGTGAGGATTAAAAAAAAAAAAAAAAAAAAAAAAAAAAATGTTTAAAAAAAAAAAAAAAAAATGTCTCCACTCACCGAAAAAAATTTATGCATTTAATATATGTAGAAAATATACATTAAATATGCATTTGATATTGTAGAAAATTAGAAAGTACATGTAACATAAAAAAGAAAATGAAAGCACTTGAAATTCTCCTGCTCAGAATTTTTTTTTTTACAATTTTGTAATTTATCCTTCCAGACTTTAAAATCCATATACATGCAGATATATGATTGTTTGTGAAAAGTGGATCAGACAATGGATATGTCTTAGTAATTTGCCTTTACCACGTAGTGATATATACTGAATGGTTTTCTGTCAAATAAATACATATCTTCCCTGCCCAGCTGCTGTGGCTCAGTGGACTGAGAGTCATCCCATGGACTGAGAGGTCCCGGTTTGATTCCCGGCCAGGGCACATGCCTGGGTTGTGGGCTCGATCCCCAGTAGGGTCGTGCAGGAGGCAGCTGATTGATGTATCTCTCTCACATCCATGTTTCTCTCTCTCCCTCTCTCCCTCTTTTCCACTCTATCTAAAAATCAGTGGGAAAATATCCTTGGGTGAAGATTAACCAAAAGAAAAAAAGAAAAGAAAGGGAGGGAAGGAGGGAAGAAGGAAGGAAGGAAGGAAGGAAGGAAGGAAGGAAGGAAGGAAGGAAGGAAGGAAGGAAGGAAGGAAAAAAGGGAAATACACAGTTACATTGTCATTTCGAGGCTGTATTGTATTCCAGGATACTGTTAAACTGTAATCTATTTCATTCTCTGTTGCTAGATATATGGGGCTCGTCCCCCGATATTTAAATTATTGAACATGGCCTTGGCCGGTTTGGCTCAGCGGTTAGAGCGTCGACCTGCGGTCCCGAGAGACCCGGGTTCGGTTCCCGCCAAGGGCATGTACCTTGGTTGCAGTTTGTCCTCGGCCCTGGTTGGTCATGCAGGTGGCAGCCACTCGATGTGTCCCTTTCACGTCAATGTTTCTCTCTCTCTCTTCCTTTCTCTCCCTCCCACTCTACCTGAACAAAAAATAGAAAAATGTCCTCAGGTGAGGATAAAAATAAAATAAAAAAATTATTGAACACGTGTTTGTTGAGCCCTGCCATGAGCCAGGACCTGTTCTGGGCTCTGGGAAAACAACAGTGCACGAATGGCCATGGCCTTGGCCTCAGAGAGCTCATGTCATTTGCACAGGCCACAGGAAAGTACCTCCCTTGCAGGGTCACGAAGGCTGAGTGCCCATGGAGCTGGAGTATGGTGTAAACTGCTGGCCTGTGTTGGTGGTTATTACTGTTATTACTGTGATCAGTACCATGGCAGTGGGGGGCTGAGGTGGCAGCACCCACTGTCTGAGCTCTGGAGGGTACAGAGCCTAACTGGATACCTGGGGGCCATGGCCGCAGCCTCCCCAGCTGCAGGGCCCTCTCCCCTTTGTCCCCCACCCTGACTATGCTCTGTCCCCCAGGGCTGAACATCCATTTCATCCATGTGAAGCCCCCGCAGCTGCCTGCCGGCCGCACCCCAAAGCCCTTGCTGATGGTGCATGGCTGGCCTGGCTCCTTCTACGAGTTTTATAACATCATCCCGCTCCTGACTGACCCCAAGACCCACGGCCTGAGCGACGAGCACGTCTTTGAAGTCATCTGCCCTTCCATTCCTGGCTATGGCTTCTCAGAGGCATCCTCCAAGAAGGGTAAGGGGGCTGCCGGGGGCTGCGGGCCTGCCCCTCCTCACCTGCGGGGACCAGTCTTCCCCCTGGGCTCCCCATCTGGGAGAGTGAGGCGGGGAGTCGGCTGGGACCCCTTCCCTCCGAGCCTAAGGGGGGGGGGAGAGGAGCAAGGAGGCATTGTCATTATACACAGGGCCCAGGCACCCTCTCGGGCCTGAGGCGGGTGGTGGGCGAGGGTCTGCGCAGAGGCCTGACTCCCAGAGTCAAGGTCATGGCTGTTCGGTGCTGACTGGGGGCCTGAACTGCAGTGTTCTGAGAGCTCCCCACTCCAGGGCAAGCCGGGGACTGTCCCGGGCCAGCAGGACTGACCTAGCCCCTCACGCCATGTGGGCCCACAGACGCTCCCCTGGGCTGGCCGGAACCCATCTGCCCGCTCACTCCCTGGCCACCAAGGCGGGCATCGGGCACTCCACCTTTGGGTACAGGATTCTATCTCTCCTGAGCTGCTCTTACCTAGCTTGCGGCAAGGGGGTGTGAGGAGTGTCACAGGCCATGGGAGGACCTAAGGAGTGGCCGCTCCATGACTCTGTCCTCTTTCCCCCTCACAACCAGGCTTGAACTCAGTGGCGACCGCTAGGATCTTTTATAAGCTGATGCTGCGGCTGGGCTTCCAGGAATTCTATACTCAAGGTGGGGACTGGGGGTCCCTGATCTGCACCAACATGGCCCAGCTGGTGCCCAGGTGAGGGTCACTTTCAGGTGTGTGTGCATCTACAAGTTGGACATCTGTGCAGCATGGCAGGGTTGTTCACGCTGGGCCCTGCCTGGACATGGTGTCTGAGTCTTGGGGCGTCCTCTTGCTAGGATGCTGTGAGCCAGGGGAGAGGGGCAGGTCTCCCTGGCATTCAGCTCTGCCCGGGGCACTAGGACATGGATCCACCCTTCATTTGATATCACACAGGGTTGGAGACTTCAGGCCAGATGCCCAGGCAGAGAGGGCCAGTTAGAGGAGGGGAAGGTCAGGGAATAGACCTTCCTAATGGAACAAACCCTGGGAGCAACTGGACCAGAACTTTCTAGAAACCAGTTTCTCGCCAACCTGCCCTTTCACCTCTATGGCTACCCCAGAGGGGCAGATGCTGAAGGGGGCTGGTCCTGGTGTCCTCTTCTTCCTGTTTCTCCACCCCCCCTTGCCTTGACACCAGCCAAGCCTCACCTGGCCCCTCTCTGTCCTCAGCCACGTGAAAGGCCTGCACTTGAACATGGCCTTCGTTTTAAGAAATTTCTACCCCCTGACTCTTTTCTTGGGACCACGTTTCCGGAAGCTTTTTGGCTACACCGAGAGGGATATGGAGCTGATGTACCCCCTGAAGAAGATTTTCTTCAGCCTGATAAGGGAGAGCGGCTACATGCATATCCAGAGCACCAAGCCGGACACTGTGGGTATGTGCTGGGAGGTGGCCCCGCTCAGTGGCCCCTCCACCAGGGGCCAGGGAGGGGTTTACAGCCATTCCATTCAGGAAGGCTCCCAACCAGGGGAGGCCTCGCCTACCCCCAGGGGCACTGCTCACAGGTGACAACCTCTCTGAGGGACTTGGAGCTCTTTCAACCCTTAAACTGCATTTTTCCATGGAAGTGACTTGATGCGTGGTCATCAAACTCCCAAACATTTCCATTTAGCGGGTTTCATATTCCTAGTGGCTCTGCCACCGGATCCCTCCACCCCTGAGAGATGGAGAGGGCTGGTGGAGGAGGAAGCCTGGGGGCTTGGTCCCTCTGGAGCTGTGGGGGCAGAGGAGGGGGTGCCCCAGGGCCCAGAGCGGGAATCTCCATGACAACTAGAGGCCCAGCAACTGTTTCTGCCACCGGGGTCCTATTAAAGGATCATTAAAAAAAAAAAGACACCCTGGCTGGTTTTGCTCAGCGGTTAGAGCGTCAGCCTGCGGTCCAGAGAGACCTGGGTCCAGTTCCTGCTAAGGGCACGTAACTCGGTTGCAGTTTGTCCCGGCCCTGGTTGGGGTCGTGAGGGTGGCAACCACTTAATGTGTCCCTTTCACATTGATGTTTCTCTCTCTTCCTCTCCCTCCCACTCAATCTGAACAACAACAACAACAACAACAACAAAAAAGTGGGAAAAATGTCCTCGGGTGAGGATAAAAAAAGACAAAAACATTTAAAAAGATAAAATCATACAAATATAAAATGAACACATGTCAAAGATTTCACTTAACTCATTAATTAACTAATAAAGGACCCAGCAGAATGTGAAACAGAACAGTTCAAAGGCAATTAGGAACACTAAAATTAATAGGCTAATAGATGCAAACCGTCAAAATCCCCAGTAATAGTCATTTAAGTCTCCATTTGCTTCTCTGTGAACAAGAAACACGCAGGGGGAAAGGAGGGACGTCTGTAATACCTTCAACAACAAAGATAAATCCAAACAAAAAGAAGCATTTGCATAACTGTCTGTTTTCAGTTTACAGAGCTATGAAGCCTCCGTCAGGCGAGAGAATAGGGGACCCCTGGAGAGTCAGATAACCCTGGAAGCACCCACCAGACGACCCCCCAATCCCACTCCGAGAGCACCCAGGAATAGTTTTGTCTGTCTCAAAGTCCTTTATAGTTTTCAGGACAGTCCTAAGCTCAACATACATTAGGCAACTCATGAAAATAATAGTGCTTCATAAAAGCATTTTTCCCCTCTGATTATAAAAGTAATCCACACTCATTTTCAAAAAACTGAAAGATGCAAAAACCACAAAACAGAAACGACAGTCACATGTCCCCACGCCTCCCTCCCTACCTTCCCTGTTCCCAGCCTTCAAACAAATTTGCTAACATTTTGGTTGATGAATTTTCACAAGTGGAATCCGTCCATATAACCAGAAACAGAACACGACCCGCCGGCCCAGAAGTCCCCTGCCCTGTCCCCCAAACCGCCAGGGTAACACTCTCCTGACTTGAGACAGATAGATGGATTTTTGCCTGTTTTGATACTTTATATGAAGTGGAATTCTAGAGTAGGTACCTCTTCTAAGTCTGGCTTCTTTGGCTTAATCTTATGTTTGGGAGATTCGCCCGTGCTGCTGTCCTAGCCATTTTAATGCTTGCCCAGTATTACAGCGTGTGGGTGGATCAATATTTATTTGTAACTGATCCCCTATTTTGGGCTTTTAGGTTGTTTCTCAATTTTTCACTAATCATAGCATATAAACAAAAAACAAAAAAACCCACCTTTTTAAAAATAGCTATCATATATATTTCTCATTTGGATCTCACAAAACCCAGAGTCACAGACCCTTCCGTTTGAAGGAAGCTGCCCATACAGTATGGATTCCCATGAGGCAGTGGGGAGGTATCACCCCTTTTATCAGGCATGAGGATTCTGAGGCAAGGGTTAAGGAAGTGAGGTGCAGGAGCACCCCAGTCAGGGCAGAGTGGTGCCCCGCCATGGGCTCCCTGGCCCTGGCACTGCTCCGAGGGGCCTGCACCACACCTCAGCCCTGACGGCCAGCTCCCTGGTCCCAGGCCTGAGTCCCTCTTGCTTCTCCCTGTGCCAGGCTGTGCCCTTAATGACTCCCCCGTGGGACTAGCTGCCTATATTCTAGAGAAGTTTTCCACCTGGACCAATGCGGAGTTCCGGGACCTGGAGGACGGCGGCCTTGAGAGGTGAGACCCGGGGCACCCCTCGTCACAGCAGCGCCTTCCTCACTCCTCCTCGCCGTCTTCACTGGGGGGGGCACCAGGCTCCCAGGTTGGAATCCAGCGGAGAAGGGCATGGGAGGAGCAGCCGCTCCGTGGACTTGGATTTCTTCAAAGGCCGGGAAGGCAGGGCTGTGGGTGGGCACTGAGGGCTGGGACCCTCTGAGGAGGTGGCAGCTGAAATCCGAGAGCACGGGTTTATAATGGACCCATCAGCAGGGCGGGAGTCCCCTCAGGTCTGTGGACTGTCAGGTGGGTCCAGGTGGCAGAAGGCCTCAGGGAAGGACACTGAAGGGGTGAGTGTCATTGGAAGCTAGAAGGTCTGGGTCCACTGGGCAGTTATTCCCAGGGGTGAAGGGTGGAAGCTGGTGGGGTGAATGATGGGGTGGGGAGAAGAGTGGGGAAAAGTGGGGGCCCAGAAGGCACAGCCAGTGGGCAGAGGGCAGGCCATGGAGGGCTGGGGAGGGGGGGCTCTGGATGCAGAGTGGGGGGAGGGAGCCCAGCCCAGGGGAATGTGGGGCTTCCAGAGTCCACAGACCCTGTGCTCCAACAGTGACAGCCAAGTGACTGTTCCTCCTGGAGGCTGGGGCCCTGCGGCCTGAGTGGAGTCAGCCTGCTCTGAAGTCCAGGCTGGAGGAAAAACGCTGTGTCTCGTGCTGAGTGGGGGACTCTGCAGAGCCCTCGGCTCCCTCCTGGGGTGACCCAGGTTTGGCAGAGGCACACGGGCAAGCTGCGGGCTGGTGAACGGAAATGCCCCGGAACTGCTGGTTCTGCCCTGCTGCTCGGGGGCTAGACTGGGCCAGGGCCCAGGGTTCTGAAGGCTGCCTGGAGACCAGGGTCTGCCCAGGGCCTGGCAGGCTCAGCCCCATCTGAGGATGGTCCGGGGAAGGTGTGTACTGTGGACACCAGAGTGGGCGATGCCTCTGAGCAGGGGGTGCAGCATCCGCTCACAGACGTCCCGGACCCCACCTCCCGGACCCTCGTAGTGACCAGCTCAAGGCCCCTGGGCTCGGTTGACCTCACCTGCTCCTTCCCACCTGGGTGGAACCTCGGGGGCCTGGGGGCAGGGATGGCTGACACCACCCAGGATGATGGTGAAACCAGCACAGCCCGCTTCATACGTGGTCAGCACTCTGCATCCACGACCTGTCATCGTGGTAGGTGGTGATACTGGCCAAGCCTGCCCTGCCTGTGGCATGGGAACAGCACCCCCAACCTTGCAGTGAGGTCTGAGGAAGGAAGCCAGATGGGCACGGGGCCTGGGAAATGCTCACAGCCCAGGGTGGCAATTCTTGTTTGTTGTACAACTGCACCTGGCACTGAGAGAGGCCTTCTGCTTTCCCAGGAAGTTCTCCCTGGATGACCTGCTGACCATTATCATGATCTACTGGACAACCGGCACCATCACCTCCTCCCAGCGCTTCTACAAGGAGAACATGGGACACCACTTTATGGCCGACAAGCACCACCAGTGAGCCTGCCCCTGGGGCGGGGCCCTCCAAGGGAGGGAGTAGGGGAAGACCCGGCCTTGAACTCAGGGAGGGCATTCCACGGCAGAGGAGCACAGCCCGGCCCGCGGGTGCGGGTGCGCGGGGTGTGCAGAATGGGAGCCCAAGGTAAAGGTCCAGGTGTTCGCCTGTAGTCAGCTCCCAGAGGGAGTCCTGGGGCTCCCCAGGGCCAGGATGCTGGCCTCTGTGGCACTGACGGATCTGGGACTTCCGGTCGCCCTTTCCTAATCTCAGATGAAGACCCCGGGACAGCAGAAGGAAAGGGAACAAAGGTGGGGAGTGAGGCTGTCCCGTCCTACTCCCAGCCTGGGCAGCCCTTCCAGAAAAGAGGGTTCTTAGTGGGTTGGAATTGAGGGGGGTGGCTTATGACACCGCCACCCCACCTGCCTGCAGTCCCCTGGACCCCCTGTTGTGGGGGACAGGCTGCCAGGCAGCAGCCCACCCCTCGGGGATCTCTGTCCCTTCCAGGATGAAGGTCCACGTGCCCATGGGCTTCGCTGCCTTCCCTTGTGAGTTACTGCACGTCCCAGAGAAGTGGGTGAGGTTCAAGTACCCGAAACTCATCTCCTACTCTTACATGGCCCGTGGGGGCCACTTCGCTGCCTTTGAGGAGCCAAAGCTGCTTGCCCAGGACATCTGCAAGTTCGTGGGGCTGGTGGAGCAGCAGTGACGCCCCAGAGGCAGCCCCTGGCCCCCGGTGGCAGGCTCCCCACCGACACCTGCCCTTTTTCCTGGAGCCCCTGGTCTCCCAGGGCTAGCTCCCCTCCAGGGAGGCGGCCTCTGTCTCCTCTTGTTGCAGAGCCCCTTTCTGAGGAATGGGTTTACTTCTGTCCCCTACCATCCCCGGACCCCCACGCTCACACCTCCACGCACACTCCCCCGCACACATCAAGCAACATGTTCTGACAATAAATAATTTTACTCCTAAGAGTGGTTGGACCAAGTGATGAGCATGTGCCCCGACCCTACTTGGGGTTCCCCTTCCAGCAGAGCTCGCAGGTCTGCAGCCTGGACGGGGGAGGGGATCCCATTGCACCCTGGCAGGGGAGGGTGGGACAGGCCTGCTGGGGGCACCAGGACGCTGTTCTATCCCTGTCCGGTGCCCGGGGCAGCTCAGAGCAGAGGCTGCGGGGCTGACTGACTGCTGGGGACAGGGACAGGGACAGGGACCAGCCCACCTCTGGGGATTGAGGCAGCCTTCCTGGCTCTGTCCTGCCACCCACACCTACCTGTGACTCTCGCGCCCCCTGGAGGCAGTAGGAAGGCAGTGTCTCTGGCAAGTGCCCAAAGTTGTCTCTCAGTCCTGAGATTGGGGGAGGGGGCCGGTTTGGCTCAGAGGTTGGAGCGTGGGCCTGCAGACCAGAGTCCCAGGTTCGGTTCCCACTAGCGGCACGTAAGGCAAGGGACTGCCTTCCTACTGGGGTCACAGCTCAAGGGTGGTGCACAGCCCTGCACCCAGCCCAGGCACCCCCCCCCTCTCCCCCTGCCACAGTCCTCCCTGGGCTCCTAGGAGGCTCTGAGCACTACTCTCCCCTGGCCCCCACCTTGGAGGGAGCAGACAGGAGCCAAGGACTGGAGACTGAGCCCCACGCATTAACCCTGAAGAGGCAGGAAAGGCTGGATCTCACCGGTGTGGCTGAATGGGCACTTTATTAGTGGTTCGAATTGTTCCTGACTGCTGTGGGATGACCCTGGCCCAGCCACAGTGTCGCTGGCAACATGATACAAAAACGGACCATAGCAGGGTGCAGAGGTGTGTGCGCGGAGCCTGCACCGAACATTCCTGTTCTGCTCCCCACAGCTCACTGCTGCGGCGCAGGCTTAACGCACAGAGCAGGGCCGGAATGACCCTGGACCGTCTTTGTCTTCTGGCCCGGTCCCAGGCGTAGCCTGCCGCAGCCTCTTTGATTGTCAGTTGGTCGTCTGTGTCTAGAGAGGGGCGGGTATATGCGTGCTCAGAGGGAGGAGGTTTTCCACTTGTTACATTCTCCCTACTACCCGAGTCACCACAACCCATGGCCCTGGAGGGACACAACTCCAACACATGATCTTGCCAATAATCACAGGGACATCATCCAACTACAGAGTCGGACAGCGCAGAAGGGGGATGGAAACGAGCAGAACCCGGGCTCGCACGCAAGCGAGGGTAGGGAGTTGCACCTGGTCCCCTCACTGCTGCTGTGACCAGAAAACACCGCCCAGTGACAGTCCTGCTCCAAACCCTTCAGCCTAGAGCTGGAGCCGCTTCCTGGCTGGTTTCGTCCTTTCAGAGCAGCGGGGCTTTAAAAGGTGGACAGAAGTCTCGGACTTGGTTGGGGTCAATGTCGAGCTGCTTCTCCACCGGCATCGCCTCACCCTCCGGCTCCCTGAGCCTGGCCCAGGCCAGAGCTTGCCCGCTCTCAGGCCTCCTGGTAGGCAGCTGCCACGCTGTCCGCAGGGCTCTGGGCCAGGCACTGTCCGGGGACAGTCCCACTGATATTGTGGATGGCTCCATAAGTCTGCTGCTGCTGCGGGTACAGAGCCGTTCTCTCGGAGGCCAAGCCACTCAGAATCCGGGGCACATAGGGCTGCCAACAAATGAGGTGTTAGTGCTTGGGTGGGCCTGAGATGCTGTACCCCATTCCTCCCCACACAGTGCTCATAAAGGACACATAAAGAAATAACATCGGCCGACCGGTGTGGCTCAGTGGTTGAGTGTCGACCCATGCACCAAGAGGTCGCTGGTTCGATTCCTGGTCAGGGCCCAGGCCCAGGTTGTGGGCCCGATCCCCAGTGGGGGGCATGCAGGAGGAGACCAGTCGATGTTCTCTCTCCCTCTCACATCCTCTCTCTCTAAAATCAATACAGGAAAAAAATATGTTTAAAAAAAAAAAAAAGGAATAACATCAATTTAGGACATCAGGACCCAAAATATGCCAACTGCAGAATTTCCCAGCAGCCAGAGCAAAGCAGGAAATACAATCGATTAGACAGCTCTCATGACCATAGAGAAAGAAACGCACACACCTGTTTCTCAGAGGAAGCGACTTTCCCCAGCACTGGATCCTCGGAGAATTTCTCATTTATACAGGAAACAAGTCTCCCTACACAGGCCAGGCCTAGAGTGCTGCTAACCCCAAGACACAGCCCTGCCCTGCTCGTCCCAGACCCAGGGTGAGAGGGAGGGGTCTCCATCATCCATCTGCCCCGTGTCTTCCCCTGTCTGGCAGGCAGAGCACAGGTGTGCCTCCGGGTGATGAGTCTTCCTGAGAACCCTCTCTGGGGCTGGTCCACAGACAGACACTGATAAGAGGGCCTGACACCTGGGAGGCAGCCACCGGCGCGAACACTGCTGACGAGAGGGCCCGCCTGTCAGGTGGCCAGTGGTCATGGCTCTGGGATCCTGTGGCTCCCTTTTCCTTTCCCAGCCCCACTTAGGAGCAGGGCCCTGGGGGCCACAAGCAGGGGGAACCAGGAAGGAAAGGGGCTGGTGTCTTCCTAACACAGGGCCGCTCTGAAGCCGTGCAGTGTTCATTTCTTGAACTCAAAGGGGAGCTGGTTTTGACACCAGGGAGGACCTCACTCAGGCAGGTGCTGGTGAGACGTTTGTGATCAGCTTCCCCAAACCATAGGGCCCGGTGATACTGCCTCACCAAAGGCCCCAACTGGCCAGGCATCAAATATGCAAAGAAGGAATGTGAGCGGGGGAACTGAAACCAAGGGGGATGGGCATATATCCTGGCAAAACTAATTCTTCTCAGCTAGGGGTGCAGCTTCACGTATACACGTTCAAGCACCCAGAGGGACCAGGCATTCCTTCTCAACTGACATCAATCCAGCAACCTGCCTGACACACGATCAAGAGACTTCTATCTCAATGAGAGATGATCAAAGTACATTAGCGGGGCCCACCTGGTGGAGGCGGTGCCAGTGCTCAGTGCTGGGGGGGACCCGAACTTACTGTGTACGGTGGGGGTACGTAGGCCTGGGCCTCACCTCCTTTGTCACTCGCCGACTCTTCTGTCTGCAGGTAACAGCAGAAACTTCCAATGATAAACAAAACTGATCTTCCTGAACTAACACCCTCCAAACAAGCAGACCATTAACACCCCGAATAATAGTACCAGCTGGCACCAGGCTCCCAGTGGCAGGCAGCCCAAGAGGGCGTGGTGAGGGCCGTGCAGGGAGCAGGGAAGGGGTGGGGAGGGAAGCCGTACACATGATACCCACTACCCAACCCTTTCCCTGGATAAACAAAACCTGGAGAAGGCTGCTGATATGTGAATGGGTGGGGGAGGGGTGAACAGTGATCCCACATCTCCTCCCTGATCCTGGCTGCGGGCGGTGGGAGGGGGTCTCTACCTTGTAGTTCAGAGGGCTGAGGTGCTTGAAGCATCCAAAGCAGGTGTAGGCCAGGCAGATCAGGATGGTGAGCAGCACCACCAGGAAGCTGAACAGGGTGGCAGGGGCCGTCAGACCTGGGGACAAAGGGATGTCAGCCTTAGCGAAGGAGGGAGGGAGGGGCTGCCTACCCTCTCCCTGCTGAGGAAGACGCCCACACCTGGTGCAGGAACTGTGGGTGACTTCTCCCTGGGGCAAAACATAAAGAGAAGGCACTGCCCCCAAGCAGCTGGGATACTAAGTCAGTGGCAATTTGCCAGCTTCTGTGTGTTGGGTCCGCTCCTTGCAGCCTCCAGTGTCCTGGGTTAGGTTGGGTGGAGGCTCCCCCAGAAGACTGGGGCGGAGGCACACATCTGTCCTGCCTTTTTCTTTTTCCCAAGAGTGTAGGTTTTCCCTCTTGCATGTCCCCACTGTGAGGCATGAGGACCTGGACCCATCCACCACTGCCAAAGAGCAATCTGGACCTGCTTCCCCATCTCCTCTGGTTCAGCCCCTCCACAGCTGATGAAGGGACCACCTCCTCTCTCAGGCTGTCTGAGGCAATCCACCTGGCCTTTGCCAGAGTTACACATGAGCTTGGGCGAGCTTAGGCTACACCCAACCAGCCCTGGCCTGGATGCCACATTCTGATTGGACACCCAGCCAACCTTCACCCTGAATGCTACATTCTGATTGGACATTCAATCAGCCCGCACCCTGGGTGCCACATTCTGATTGGACACCCAGCCAACCTTCACCCTGAATGCTACATTCTGATTAGACACTCAACCAGCCCGCACCGGTGCCACGTTCTGATTGGACACTCACCAGCCCTCACACTGGGTGCCACATCCAGAGTGAATACCAAGTTGATGCTGTTAAAGCAGCAAGGGATTTGACCGTGGGCGTGGCTATGGGAATGTGAGTCCAGGGCTGCCTCCCTACCCTGGGGTCAGAAGGGTCCCTCACCCAGGCGCAGGAAGGAGAAGAAGAAGAGCCAGAAGAGGCACAGGATGGGAGCCGCCAAGGCCTGGTTCACAGCCGCGAAATGGATCCTCTTCTCCAGCTTGGCTGGGAGGTAGGCAAAGTAGAGGTTGTGCCGGTCCACCATGTGCTTGAGCAGGATGTAGACGAGGCCTACAGAGATGGGGCTGTGAGCTGGAGACCCAGCTGGACCACAAGGGCCCCTCTGTCCCCTTCCTCCTGGGGTGGCTATCTGTGCATGGAACTGGGGCTGGGCTGCTGTTTGACCACACGAACCAGAAGGTGGGCGAAATGCATCAATGCAGATCTTGGCTGCTAGTGTCCTTACTCCCCCCCTCCCCCCTTCCTTTCCCCTCCCCCTTCCTGGCCTCTTTCTGACTCCAAGGAGTAGAGGTGTCTGTGATTCTGTGCCCATGGAACACTGAAATTCTAGCATCAATTGGGGAAAGAGACTATTGTACACTCAGAGGCCTGACCTCAGCTCTTCCTGGGCCCTCTCATGCTGAGCACTCCCCAGACCCCTCAATGCTCCCACCTGCCTTCCCTTCTCCCACCCAAGCTACCTTGTGTTTAGTTTTATTTTGTTTTGAAAGGGTAACACTGTACTTTAAACAGAGTACAAGAGAGTAAACAAGGAACACTAAAACTTCCTCCTACCCCCAAACCTCAGCTTTCACTGCCAACAGTCTCTTGGGAGTTCTGTTTCCTTCTAGACTCTACAGTCTTCCCTGTGTTGGCCTGTTCTTGATGTTTTATGTTAGTGGCAAGACCTTGGCCTTTAAAATTGAACAGTTCCAAGTTCAAATCCTGACTCTATGCACCGCTGACCTGTCTCAAGTGCTTCGTCTGTGAGAGGGGACAGAAACAAGGCCTGGCTTATGGGGTGGTGCGAGAGTGTGTGATCATCGTGGTGACTGGCCAGAGCGACAGCACACAGGAGAAACTCGATCGTTACCCGGCACTGGCTAGCGCTGCTGGAGAATCGACAAGAACGAGCGGTCAGCTGGCAGAGCAGCTCAGACCAGGGGAGGTACTGGGTGAGGCCAGTGGAAGGAATTCATAAAAAGTGAAATTAAATGTGGTGTCAACTGTGGCTCCTTGACAGCTCGTGGCTCTTCTGGCTATATGAGGTCCTCTGTTTGGGGGGCTCCATAATGCCCCGTGATGGCTGTCTCGGGGTGCTCGGTGGATCAGCCACCCTCCTACCCTGGACTGGCTTCAGGGCCGCTCACCAAATGGTGCGATGATGGGGCAGGTGATACTGTAGGCCATGATGACGGTGAAGACACACAGCATCCACGCGTACATGGCTCCGAACTCGAACTCGAAGGCCTGGTTCTGGGAGGAAGAAGGTGGTGAGGCGCTTACAGGCTCGTTCGGTCCCCACGCCCCCACCCCGCCCCCACCCCGCGGCTCCAGGTGCTGAGGGGAAAGCTGGGTGAGAAAACTTTGGAAATGGGAGACTCACAGCCCCCCACCTCTGAGGTCCCTTTTCTCCCCCCCAAGCTTTCTCCAGCTTCACTCAGCTCACACCCAGCCCTCCAAGGTGCAGTGGTTCGTGCCTTCTTAGCGTCTCCCTGCAGCTCCATGAGCCCCTGGAGGGCAGACGGTGTGTCTGAGGGACGCCTGTGGAGCGATCCCTACAGATTTTGTCATTAGACCCAATGTCAGCTCTGCCTCTTCTGGCATGTGTCCTGGGCCACGCGCCTAACCTCCCTATGGCTTAGTCTGTATATCTGCCAAGCAAGGTACCAGTAGTGCCCATCTGGTGGGGGGTCCTGACAATTGAAAGCATGCAGCACATCACTGACTTTCCTCTCACGGTACCCACATGGCAAAGGAGAATAAAAGAGAACCCACATAGCCCCGCCGCCGTGGCTCAGTGGATTGAGCACCGTCCCATGGACTGAGAAGTCCCGGTTCGATTCCCGGTCAGGGCACATGCCTGGGTTGCAGGCTCAATCCCCAGTAGGGGGCGTGCAGCAGGCAGCCGATAGATGTTTCTCTCTCACATCAATGTTTCTCTCCCTCTCTGAAAAATCAATAAAAACATATTTTTAGAAAAAGAGAGAACCCACACCACAAAATTTAGGAAACAAATGCCACAAGCCGCAACTGCCTTTGACATGTGATAATCTTAAGCATTTTATGTAAATGGTGCCCCCAAATAAAGAATGTATTGGTGTTAGTTAGTTGTGTGTGTGTGTGTGTGATCAGACTGTTTAAAATGCAAAAACCCACACTCTCCCCTCCAGCTGGTGAGTCAGAGTGAAGGTGTATGAAGACACACCACTGTCACAAAGGGTCCTCAGTCCTCCGCCCCCACAGAGGTGGCCCTGCGCCCCTGGTGAAAAGCACTTCCCAAAGTGCCCGGCACTGAGGCACTGAGCAAGGTGGCTGGGGACGCCCGAGGTGGGAAGCACAGGGGGAGTCAGTGCCCACCCAAGCCGCCAGCCAGCACCTGCTTGACGTTCCTGCGGTCGGCGGCCGTCTTGGCTGCGATCATGCGGAAGGTGTAGAGGATGAGCCCGGGCAGCCGCAGCAGCTCCATGCCGTTGCCGATGAAGGCCGAGGCGATGACGTAGTTCACAAAGAAGGCACCCTGGTCAGGCAGAAAGACGCACCTGGGGACCCGGGCAGGGGTGTGAGCTGAGAATCAGGACAGCCTCCTTCCTACCAAGAAAGGGGGTGACCCCAGGTACCCTGAAGCTTTGTACTTGGCCCTCCACTCGGTACGCGTGTGTGCAGTACGCACGTGCCAGGCACTGTTCTAGGCGCTGAGACTGAAGCAAAGCCCCTGACCCTTAGGTCTGCGGGCAGACGCTCTAACTGGAGCCAAATCGGCCAGGGCAGTGAGCATTACTGTTACGGGGCACGGTACAAGCTGAAAATACTAACAAGGACACACATGAGAAATAAATTTAGCTCCATTTTCCTGGCAAAAACAATCCGCAGTCCAGGCAGTCATCTGGTTCAGTGTTAATCATTCCCCATTCCTGCTCCCTGGCGCCCCTGAGACCCAGCAGCTGCTTCTCCCCAACGGCTCTGTTCTCGGTAAATGAGTTGCAAAGCACGAATGAGACTGTGACTAATTGAGTCTTGGCCTAAAAAAATTAACCACATTTTTGCACACGAAGCACAAAATGGGCCAGCTCCCATGGTGTAGCCAAAGGCTCTGCCCGGCCTCGGCCCAGCAGGAACCCGGTAGGGCAGGTGGGGAAGACCCGGGCCCTGTGGGACAGTCACCCAGGACCGTGGTTCAGAAACTCAACGTGGCTGATACTTACTCCAACCTGACAGTGGTGTCCGAGGAAGTTTTGTCAAAGAGCCACCGGAAGAAAAAATCCAGACTGAAAGACAAATGGATCCCGTAAGAATTTATTTCTAATACTCCATGGGATCACTACACACGTGTTCTTTCTTTTCTACTCTAAAAACCAGATCGAAAATAAAAATAAAAAAATAAAAAAAAATAAAATAAATAAAATAAAAATAGGCCAGATCTTCAGATCCACATTTACCCTTTATCTTAATGTTTTTCCTCACCCAGACACCTTTGCATTCATCTTCAGTTAGAGCGAGAGGGAGAGAAGGAGGAAGAGAGTGAGAAACATCGATGTGAGAGAGACACATCGACTGGTCACCACCCACACGACCCCAACCGGGGCTGGGGACAAACTACAACTGAGGTATGTGCCCTTAGCAGGAACCGAACCTGGGACTCTCTGGACCACGGGCTGATGCTCTAACTGCTGAGCCAAACCAGCCAGGGTATCACATTTACCCTTTAAAATGCCACTTACTACAGTGTGACACACCAAGGCCTACTTCAACAGAAACTTCCTTCCTGGAGATAAGTAAAGCCAGGATCAGATCCCGCCCTACGTGGAAGGTCATGGTAAATTGTGTTTTCGAGCTTAAAGAGATGGCATCTCCAGGAGAGTCAGTGGGCCAGCGCCACTGCATGCCAGGTGACTGTGACAGCTTAAATGCTACCGGGATTTGCATTTACTCCAAAACCGCTCATGCTCCTGAGGACAGTGCTCTCCAGACATGACCCTGATTCTAAATTTAGAGCAGGAGGTGGCCATGTGTACCTGGTGAGGCCGAGGGAGGGCAGAATCAGCACCATGAAGATCAAGAATATGTAGACCTTGGTCATCATGATCCGGTTTTCCCCTGACCTGCAGGAAGTCAGAGGTGACCACTCAGGGGACCCAGTGTCCCCGGTGTCCCCAGTAAGCTGTGTGCCCATTGCCCGGGGGCGGGGTCAGAGCTCCTGGCACTCACTTGGTCCAGTGAGACTCCAGCAGCGTAGAGTAGTAGACAATGGTCGGGAGCAGGGCCGAGAAGGACCACAGGAGGAGGGTTGGGAAGAACTGGCTGATGATCGGGTCCTGGAAAACAAGGTCCACAGCAGAGACAGTTGGTGGCTTTGAGACCATGACCTATTGCATGGCAGCTCAGTGAACTCCCGAGATTGGGGTTTGTTCGTCCGTGACCCCCGGAACCATTGCTGTGCCTGATGGTACAGGGTCAGTATTCCATACAGTTGGCTGAATAAACACTAGCACTTTATATTTGTACAGCAGAGCGCTTTAGAGTGAAGACAGCAATTTCACATATAATTGAATCCCCTTGTCTTACTCACCAGAGAGAGAAACTTCTCCATTCCCTATAAGAAAACCAATTACAGTGTCAAGGACAGACAGAACCCTGCAGGCCAGCACGCTTCCCCAGGGGGCCTGCCCACTCAGCTCCCAAGGGCCCAGCCAGAACGTCCCAGGACTGCTTCATGTTGTCCGCAGTCGTGTCTATGCCCATTGTACTTGTTACTGTAATGACATCACTTGATTAACTTCCTACTTTCCCTGATTAAATAAATGAGCATAAAAACAGAGGAGAAATTCTTTGAAAACTAAATTGGATACTTTGGAAAGACTTGACAAAGGCCGATTTCTAAATAATGCTGTTGAATTAGATGAGACTAAATTAACTGTAAAAGCCCTGGCCGGTTGTTCAGTGGTTAGAGCATCGGCCCTTGGACCAGGGGATCGCTGGTTTGATTCCCGGTCAAAAGCACATGCCTGCGTTGCAGGTTCAATCCCTGGCCTGGGTCAGGGTCATGCAGGAGGCAGCCAATCGATGTCTCACATTGATGTTTCTCTCTCTCTCTCTCTGTCCCTCCCTCCCTTCCACTCTCTCTAGAAATCAATGGAAAAATATCCTCAGGTAAGGATTAACAAAACAAAACAAAAAAAGACCAAGGAAAATGAAATCTGGGAGAGTTTTATACTTAGAATGGCTTTGCAAGTATCTTTCAATTCTTGCTTTCCTGTAAGAAACCAAAACTGCTATCACCAGCAAGGAAATAGGTATGGTTTTCATAAAATCAACAGAGAGGAACTCTAATCAGCAGATTTAATCTCAAACGAACAGGCTTTGACCGTACACCAAAAGATTGGCAAAGAAATGACCATTTATGTGCTTTAAATCTAGACAAAACTGCTTAATGTACACCATGCATTTTTTTTTATCCTCACCCGAGGACATTTCTTGATATTTTGTTCAGATAGAGTGGGAGGGAGAGAGAGAGAGAGAAACATCGATGTGAAAGGGACACATCGAGTGGCTGCCACCCACATAACCCAACCAGGGCCAGGGACAAACTGCAACTGAGGTACGTGCCCTTAGCGGGAACCGAACCCGAGTCTCTCGGGACAGCAGGCCGACGCTCTAACTGCTGAGCCAAACCGGCCAGGGCACACCATGCATTTTTTATTATATATTGAGTCAGATGAGAGAGCTTCAACCATCCATAGGCTCATTCAGTCACCATCACAACAGTCCCATGCGTGTAATACGGCAAACGTTTTGTCTTCAGTTTTCAGATGAAAAACCAAGGCTCAGAATTCATCAGCTAGGGCATGGCAGACCAAGGACCAGGACCTCAGGCCTCCAGCCCAGCACACTTTCCCAGACGGTGACTGCCCAAACGCCAGTGAAATTAGAGAAAAAAACAATATTTAAGGTGACATTTTAGCAAAGCCAACATCTTTGAAAGTAGATACCAATTTAGGGAGTGTTTAGCTATTATCCCATCAATTCTTCTAAGATTTTAAAAGCCATTCATAACCTATCTAGAATCAATGACTTTATAACAAGATTAGAAACTGAAATGTAAGAGAAGTGATTAGGTCATGGTGTTGCCATCCCAATCCAAGAAGCTCTTTCCATCCCTCCCCGCCCACTCCCAGTGGCCCCATCAGACACCGCACCACTGGCACTTGGCTGTAACTGTCACTCAGAGGCAGTCTGTGTTCTGCTGCCATCATAGGCCCCTGACGTCCACCACAAAGTCTATACAATTTTTTTTTTTTTTTAATCCTCACCCGAGGACATTTTTCCATTTTTTGTTCAGGTAGAGTGGGCGGGAGAGAGAGGATCAGAGAGAGAGAGAGAAACATCGATGTGAAAGGAACACATCAAGTGGCTGCCACCTGCACAACCGACCAGGGCCGGGGACAAACTGCAACCGAGGTACATGCCCTTAGTGGGAACCGAACCCGGGTCTCTCTGGACCGCAGGCCGACGCTCTAACCGCTGAGCCAAACCGGCCAGGGCAAAGTCTATACAATTTTTAATGGATGCTTAACGTGCTATCAGACCGAATATATTTCATACAACTAGAATGACACCTACTGATGAATATTTAGATTGATTCCATATATATAATTATATATAGGGTGTCCCCAAAAAATGTATACACACACTTTGACTAATTATAAAGCTAGTGTTTAATAAAATACATTTCATTTTCAAAATGTAATGGAATCTACAGATACCCTGTATATATATTTTTGGGACATCCTATATATATTCATTATGAATATATATAAAATGTAATTATATATTTAATATATATGTCATATATAATGATATACATATATACATATATACATACACACACACACATATATATATATTATGATATTGTAGTAAATGTGGTCATGTCTGCTTATGGTTTAAAAACACAGACATGATTATATATGTCATTTATACCTCAATAAAAATATTTATTTATTTAAAAATAGCACAGACAGCCCTGGCCGGTTTGGCTCAGCGGTTAGAGCGTTGGCCTGCAGTCTGGAGAGACCCGGGTTCGGTTCCCGCTAAGGGCAGGTACCTCGCTCGGTTGCAGTTTGTCCCCGGCCCTGATTGGGTCGCATGGGTGGCGACCACTCGATGTGTCCCTTTCACGTCAATGTTTCTCTCTCTATCTCTCTCTCCCCCTCCCTCCCTCCTACTCTATCTGAACAAAATATCAAAAAATGTCCTCGGGTGAGGATTAAAAATAAATAAATAAATAAATAAATAAATAAATAAATAAATAAAAATAGCACAGACATGAGCTGAGCAACATACCACCTGGTTCACGGTCCCCCACATCCCTTTCCCCTCCCTCCCCCACCCGCCATACCCTATGGTCACCAGCCCTCCTGGGATGGGCCTTGCAGAATGGTCACTCACATTCAGCGCATGGATGGGTTTGGTGACATTGAACTTGTCGATGGTAGAGAGGATGATGGAGGGTGTGGTCAGAAAAAACAGCACCACGAAGAGAGTGAAGTTGATGCCCAGCCATTGGAACCACCAGCGGAGGCCCTGGATAGAGAGGTTCTTCCTACAGAGGAGAGGACACAGGCCTTGGAGGCTTATCTCCCAGGATCTGGCCACCCACGCACCAACAGTGCCCATGGCTTAGGTGGGTCAGAAGGTCCAATTGAGGCAAGTCAAGAGATTAGCCTGAGGGCTCTGGCTTAGAGCTCATTTGGACCTGGGAGTACAGACAAGTTCTCTGCACTGACCTTCAGCTACAGGAATGGCAAATTTGAGGCCCTATGAGCTCAGAGGGAAAAGTTATTCACTGCTAACTGTTGAACTGATATATTTTAGATCTCTAGGGAGAAAGAACATTATTAAAATTAATTTCGTCCGGCTAGTGTGGCTCAGTGGTTGAGTATCAACCCATGAACCAAGAGGTCACCAGTTCGATTCCCAGTCAGGGCACATGCCCAGGTTGTGGGCCTGATCCCCAATGAGGGGCATGCAGGAGGCGGCCAGTGGATGTTCTCTCTCATCGATGTTTCTACCTCTCTCGCCCTCTCCCTATCTCTAAAATCAATAAAGAAAGAAAGAAAGAAAACAAACACTTTATAAAAATAAATAAATAAAATTAATTTCAACTTTTACTTTACTCTTTTAATGTGTCCCTCAGGCTAACGAGGCAGATGACACTTGACTTAAAGCTACATTGTCCAATTTAGTAGCCATGGGACATATGTGGCTACTGAGCATTGAAATGAGGCCTTTCTGGGCCTGGGGCTCACCAGCAGATGTCCTCGGGGTAAGCGGCAAAGGTGACTGTCCACTTGGAGATGCCGAGCTCTTTGCTGTGGGAGGACGGCTGGGGCTCACCTTTGCACCGAAGGCCCTGACACTTGCAGGCGTTGAAGTCTCTCAGGATGCTGCCGGGAAATGAGAAAATGGCCCGGGCCCAGGTCACCTGGCGCCATGTACATACACAGTACACAGGGCTGAGTAAGACCAGGAGCCCCATGGTGCAGGACCTTCGCTTTATTAATTTATTCTAATTCATGCTACAAGAGAGAGAACATGCTTGGCACACTATGCGGAGGACTTTGTTTAATCCTCAGAACAACCCTACAAGCCAAGGATTATTATTCCTATTTCACGGATAAGGAAACTGAGCTCTCCGAGTCAGGTCCTGCGCCCCATGTGTCTGCCTCCAGCTCCCGTGCCGTTTGCAATGCTCCTTACTCTGCTCCCTGCTGGGGTCCTGCTGCCTGTGGCTTCACCCTTCACTTCTCTCACTCGCTGCCCAGGCCCCAGGGTTGTTATCAGACCACATCATATGAGGCGTGTTCCCATTCTGTTCCAAGATTTCCCTCCCCAGGACTCCCACCTCCACCCTCGCCAGCTCCCTGGGTCCTACTCTTTCCCCCTTTGTCTCCCACAAAGTACCCACCAGCCTCCCTACTGCTGTCTGAGAACATTCTTCCTCCTTCTGCTGGCCTCCTCCTGGCCCTAGCCTCACATCAGGGTCCACATTCCCGGGAGACCCTTCCCAGGGTCCAAGATGTCCAAGGCAGGGAAGGCAGGGACCAACTGCTTTCTGCATCCCTCTCTTTCCTCACCCCTCTGCTGCTCCCAAGGCGAAATGACACCGAGACACCAGGCACGAGGGCGCTTTATGAGCTAGACCCCCGGCAAAGGTGCATGATGCCAGCCCCCTCCCCAGGGCCAGGCTTCCTGCAGCAGAGTGCCCTGGAGCGCCCAGGGGCCGGCCCCCACCGCTGTCCCGTGTAGGAAGATGGGGAGCCCATGCAAGGAAGAAGAATGTGTGGTTTCAGAGCGGCGATCTGAAGCAGGGTGGGATCTATCCCACCTGGCGGAATGCTGGGACTTAGAGCCTATGGGCCCCCCGGGGCAGCTGGTGCAAGCCCAGGGGCCAGGCAAGGCCACATCCACACAAGAGGGTCTCACCAGAATCACTCGTGCCCAGGTGTCACACAAACATGGGCTGGGCTCAGTGAGGGAGTCAATGTGATAGCTGCCTCCCCAGCCAGACCTGGAGGAGATGAACATGCCACCAACAAAGCCCAGCAGTGGGACTCAGCGGCATCATCTCTCCCCAAGAGGGACCGCAAGGTATCTGGACAGGGACAAGGGAGTCAGCCATGGAGGGGCCTGGGACACTCACTAGGTGGCCATGGACTTCTCCTGGAAGGTGACGAAGGCCATCCCCAGGGGCCGATCCTGAACCCTGCACTCCTCCTCCGTGATCCTCTCCGTCAGCCTGTCCTTCATGCACGTGTAGTAAGAGATGGCGTCCTCCTACCAAGGACACATCCCTGTGACGACGTGGCCCTGTGCAGGGGGCAGCGAGACCCCGGCGCCCAGTGCCCGGCCCGGGCCTCACCTGCTCACAGCCCTGCACTTCACAGCAGCAGAACTGGCCGCAGGGCTTGGGGTTGATGAGGGTCCGCTGGCCTGTCTTCACCTGCAGGTTTGTGTAATAGTTGAGGCTCTTCTCAGACTTTTTTCTGCAGGTGGGGGCGGGGACAAACTTCAGACTCACAGTCCTGAGGCCCAACTCCACATCAGTCACCACCAGAACTGAGAGCTCAGCTTTCTGAACAAGAAAAGGGCAGAGCCCCCCTCCTCCCTTCCCTGCTGGGGATCCGAGGCCATCAGGGAAAGAGGGTGGGCGTCTCAGAGGGGAAGGGTCCGAAAGCTGCAGGCCAGCTCGACCTGTGCGTGCCCGCCCGCCGCCCCCTTACCTTTCCTTGCACAGGTAGATCAGCTTGGCCACGTTGTAGCACAGCTGGACCTCCACCACCTCACACGTGGGGTACGCGTCTCTGTGCCCGAGGCGGGCCGGGGGCAAAAGATGGCGTGGGAAAAGAGAACCCCCAGGCAAGGGAGACCCCCCCTCCAGGGCTAGCAGAGCAACCGCGCTGCTAATTCCTGTGCCCACCGAGACCATTCCTCTTTCAACACCCGCGGAGCCAGCGCCAGGCAGCCGTTAGATGCTCATGTGGCAGGGTCTCGGGTCGCACCAGGTGCCCAAGTGGAAGACATAAGGCGCTCACCCAAGGTGCTTGCCCATGGGACTGTGGGGTCCCACCTGCTCACCGGAAGTGGCTCTCCACAGTCTCCTTGGTGGCATGTCTGGGGAGTCCTGTGACGAACAGGGTCCGCCTCAGCTGCGGGAGAAACACACAGGAAGAAGTCACCAGGACAAGCAGTGTCCGGTGCTCCTTCGTGGCCTGCAGAGCCCGGACACGGTGCCTTCTTCCCAGCTATACAAAGGACATTCCCAAAGAAGAGCTCCGAGCCTTCTTTGCATGACTGGGGACTGAGAAAGAACCCAGAGAGGGGGAGTGACTCAAATAGGATCACACAGCAGATCAGAAGAGGACCCAGGCCCGGAACTAAGTAACAGAAACTGCCCACTTCCCTTCCATCAATATATGGGTTGCAAAGAGAGAGGGGACTGGCTACCTTCAATCTGAATGTCTTAGAAGTTACTTAGAATCAGTAGCTACAAGCCCATATACCCCACAAATCTAAGGGCTAGTTGGTTTAATGAGGGGAAAATATCTAAATCCTAAAATAATCTATCAGAACAAAAATTAAGACAATACCAAGCCAGTATGGCCAGTATGGCCCAGTTGATTGGAGCTTCGTCCCACACACCAAAAGGCTGCAGGTTGAATTTCCAGTCAGGGCACATACCTAGGTTGTGGGTTTGATCCCTGGTCGGGGATTGGTTGTACAAGAGGCAACCAATCAATATTTCTCTCTCACATCAATGTTTATCTCCACCTCTCTCTCTCTAAAACAATCAAACATATCCTCGGGTGAGGATTTAAAAAAAAAAAAAAGATAATGCCAACTTTGAGTGCAAGTGTGCAAGCCAGGTCCACAGGGGGCCCTCCTGAAGCTCACTGCTGTCATGCTCCTGGGGAACAGGGGGGTGCCATTCCTCTCCAGCCCCAGCTGGACCCTCCCCAGCGCCTGCCCCACCCCAGCTCACTCACCAGGCTCTCTTCTTTGTACTTGATGGACTGGGTGTGGTGCCGCATGAAGCCCAGGGTCAGGAACAGGTAAATGACCGCGAAGATGGTGTGTAGCCAGAGCAGGTCATTGCTGAGGGGACACCACCTGCTGTCAGGGTGGGCTCCCAGGCAGGGGGCAGGGATGCAAGGGGGGATTGGCGACCTTCAAGGCACTGAGCTGAGGGCCCATGACTTCATCACAAGAGGCTGCATGGCCAGTGCCCCCTTAGCGAGCCCCGTCCTGACAAGAAGCCCAGACACATGGGCCCTCCTGGTTTCCTGAAATCCCCTCCAAACAGCAGCTGCTACTGGCATGTCCGTGCCCACAGCCCGCCACACACATTGCAAAGGGGCCTTGGACATTAGCCTGCCCCTTTGAGCTACCTCTCGCCTCCCCTGGCTCCAGGATGGGCCCCCTCCTGGGTCTCACCCACCAGCGCCCTCGTAGCCTCCACCCCTACTCACTCAGTCTGTAGGTTTGCTATCGTCGTCCTCCCAAAACTGTAAGGGTCTTTGTCTGCAGAGAAGCACAGACAGATACTTAGCTCCAGGGTCACACTGGGGAATGGGAGGGGGCACCGCCAGCCTTGGCTTGTGCAGCTCTGAGGAGGGGACGGCCAGACTGCCGAGGACAGTGATGTCCATTCAGTTTACCCCAACCGAGGCCTCTGCTTTACCCCCAGGTGCTCCCTGACAACTCCACCCAGCACGGGGGTAAAGTCAACATCTAAATTCATCTTGCTTTGAGATTTTTGTGACATTTCTTGAGAAATCTGGAAAGATCCCAAGCTGTTCCCCAAACCAAGGCTGGGAATCACCGGGCGGAAGAAGCGGAATCATGGGGGGCGTTCCAGAGGCTGGATCCCCGCGGCTGCTTTGAAACAATTCCCAGCTCTGCCTTTGACTTTGAGCACCACAAACATCTTCCAGATCCACCGGTTGTGGCCTCGTGATTGTGGGCAGGAAAAATAAAACATCCTAGGAAGCCCCTGATTCTATCGATCTTGGGGGGTTTTCCTCCTACTTTGAACCAGAAATTGATATTAGGGGTCCCAGGTTTGGGGTGGATTTTCAAAAACTCCAGTAAGTCACCCTGAGACCTTCTCACATCTGAATGTGAGCATGAATGCCCCACAATGAGCCCCTTTCCCTGGGCCTGATGCTCTTCGTGGGCCCAACACAGACGAGGACAAGAAGAGTTACCCAGCAAGTCGCCCGAGAGGTTGACGGGCAGGATGACGCACAGGGACAAGAAGCTGACCACCGCCAGCAGGAAGATGATGTGTCTCTGGAAGGACAGGTAGTGGATGGCGTCCTCCCCACACCACTCCAGGATCTGGTCATCGCTGGTCAAGAAGACACACACGTGGAATCTTAGTGAGCGGTAGTCCAGGCTGGGCGCTGGGGGCCGGGCACACACTGTCTCAAGACCATCCCCTGACGCAGGTCTAATTCTGTCTCCACTGGTTTACATATGAGTAAACAGAGGCATGGAAAAGTTGCATAACTTACGATCGCATAGCTTGTAACAGAGGAGCTGTGATGAGAACTTCGGAGCCTGGCCTCTGAAACCTACACCTGACTCCTGGGCACAGGAACCTACTACCTCTCCTTCTGTGTCTCTAGAAACACTGGTGCCCACATATGTGTGGGGGTGACAGGTAGACACAATGATCCCACAGCCCTTTCCTGCCTCTATGAACAGAGCCACTGGCGAGGGGCTGCTGGGAACCTCCTTCTGAAGCTCACGGCCCGATCCTGCTCATCCCCCTCGGCCAAGCTGGGAGAGAGAGGTAGCGACGTTGCTTAAACATGCCAAGGCCTGGTTCGTCCTACTGCCCCGGCTTCTCCTGAGCTCCTGCCCCGCTCCGCCCTTCCCAGCCTCAGTGCTATATTTGGAGGTTCTGGGTCATCTGGGGACCCAGAAATTTCTGGATTGACAGCCAGACTTCCATGGGAGAGGAGTGTCTCCCTCGTCCCCAGTCTCCTGATGGGGTGGCACCCTGAGGGTCCTGCTTTGCACTCCCTGGGAAGAGCTTGGGGAAGCTGAAAAGGCAGGTCTGAAAGGTGCGGAGCGTGGGCTTGGCAGTCAGACCCCAGTCCAGCTCGGCTACCGCCTGAGCGGTCATGGGACTCACCTGAGGCTGGGACTCACCTAAAGCAGGGGAGGTACTACCTGAGAGCTACCTGGTGCCTTAGCAGGGGCACAAGAAGCCACGAGGATCAGGCACCCGATGCAGCGCCTGGCACCTGTCCACACCCAGAAGCAGGCTGGCGAAGGCTACTCCCCTTCGCTATTTACACAGTTTTGGAATTAACGACACTGTTTTCGCTTTGAAATAAACTATCAAAATGCACATACTTTTTCACAGTCCGTGCTTACTAAACAAACACTGAAGATTAAAACCAACAACGAGCAATGTTCAGGACTGTTTTTCTGGAGACGCTCTTCTGATTCCCCTATCTTGCTGGAAAGAGGCAATTCAGAAGGAAACTGAGAGGCCTCTTTAAATGTCAGCTGTAATATTGGCAGGGAGCAGCTGTTAAAATTTAATTGCAACTTAAAAAAAGTCAAAGGGTAGCCCTGGCCGTTTTGGCTCAGCGGTTGGAGCGTTGGCTCGCGGACCAGAGTTGCAGGTTCAGTTCCGATCGGGGCGTGTGCCTGGGTTGCAGTTCAATCCCTGGCCCTGGTCGGAGTCATGCAGAAGGCAGCCAGTTGATGTGTCTCTCTCACACTGATGTCTCTCTGCCTCTCTCTCTTTCTCTCTCCCTCCCACTCTGTCTGAAAATGAATGGAAAACTATCCTTGGGTGAAGATTGGGAAAGAAAAAAAAAAAGTCAAAGGGTAGTCCTTTCCGGGGCTAGAATGGAAGAGAAAAACACTGGGAGTCGAAATGCAAAAACATGTCTGATATAGCAGTAAAATGACAAAGCAGAATACACAACTGCACCCACATGACAGCCCCCCTCAGTGAGAAACCAGTGTCCCCAAGGGAGGGCTGTGGGGACATGAAACAATGAAAACAATGGCCATGGAGAGGAGAGTGCAAATTTGTTGAGCCGTTGCTAGTTAGCATGAAAATGATGAGTCCCAGTTTCTGGTTTAGCCTCCCTGGGTCCAGGCTGAGAGCAAGGTCCACAGCCCAGGGGTGGGGGTGGGGGGCCTGAGCCCTGCCCAGCAGTGGCCATGGAGAGTGGCTGACCAAAGAAAAACATGCCATGGGCATCTCTTAGAGGTGGGGTTATGGGAGACTTAAATTTTCTTCCTATTGATTCTTTTCTGTATGTGCTCAACTTTTTGCACGATGTATGCTCTACTTCCAATATAGAAGGAAACGTGTCCTGGGACCTGGTTTTGTGGTGGGTATCTCTGCCTCTCCCACCTCTGTCCCTCCCTCCCTCCCAGAAACCCCTTCTCCCACTTCTTCCTTCTCCAGACCAGGGTGCACTGGCTTCTTCTATAGAAACTCTGCCTCCTGCCAGTTCCCCTGGGAACAATACCCCCCGAACTCATATAACATGTATGAATTAGGCAAAGCAGATGTCATCCTCAGCATCTTTTTATAGTTGGGGGAACTGAGGCCCAGAGAAAGGGACTTAACCCAGTGTCCTGAAACTACCATATGTCATCAATTCTAAGATGCTGTTTTCATACTTCAGTGATCATAGCTGATTACGGCTTAACGGGCAGCATTTTCTCATTCAATGTGCCTCTTACAACGATGGCTTCTTGGAATGGAGTGTGGCAGCAGGTGGCAGAGCCCAGACTCACACCTCCGCGCCCTCCACCACTTTGGAGATGACTGATCAGCTCACAGCACCAAGCACCTCTTCTAGGATTTCTCTCCCCAGGCTCCAAGTTTTGAAAAAAATGAAAACTTTTAACCTGATGAGCTGAATGCATCAAGCAGTCACTAGTTCTCCACTTTTCGCTAGTTCAAAGACACGTAAAACTGTCTAGAAGGGCTTCCATTCCAGTATACCCCTGTTAAATACAAAGTAGATGTACTTCCTGCCTTAAGCAAAGCATGCGCTTTAATCAGCGTGTGCAGGGGCTTCCTGTGTTCTCAGACCCCACGTACTGCTTTGAACTGGAGCTGACAAAGTACCACAGAGACCCTACCTAGGACACACACATGCACACGTGCGCACGCACGCACACACACACACAGCTGCCCGAGCTGTACTCACTGCAGACGGAAGATTGCGGTCAGCCAGGGGCAGCATCCCTGCAAACAAAGAGATCAGGAATTAGCTTCAAGCATGTCTGACTTTGGGAGCAGATATCACCATTGCCTTGGACATTAATAACTATCTAACCTCCTCTTGTATAAAGACAGCACTTTTGCCCCAAATTCAGCAAGACACCCCTTGTCCCAGGCATGACAGAGTCTGCATGCTCCCAATCCTTTCCAATATGCACTCCATGCCTAGAATTCTTGCCAAAACCTCTCAAATTTGACAGTCTGTAGAATTACACAGGCTCCAGGGTCAAATCATGAAACTTGAATCAACGGCTGAGGAGAACTCAGGGCAGCTCTGGAGAAACTGATATGAGTTTCTGTTTGTTTCTAAACGACTGAGTGCGCCCGGCCGATATGGCTCAGTGGTTGAGCATCGACCCATGTGCCAGGAGGTCACCAGTTCGATTCCCGGTCAGGGCACATGCTGGGGTTGTGGGCCCGATTCCCAGTGGGGGGCATGGAGGAGGCGGCCCGTCGATGTTCTCACTCATCGACATTTCTATCTCTCTCTCCCTCTTCCTTCCTCTCTCTCTAAAATCAATAAAGAAAGAAAGAGAAAAAAACCCTCAAAACGACTGAGTGAGACACGAGACAGAAAAGCCTGGCATGGGATTTAGAAAGGGAAGCGCCTGTAGGTTTTATTGTCCACTGATACTGAGAGCTGGGCTGTTACCCAGCCTTATTTGTCTTTATTTGAAGACAAACATTTGCTCATCATTCACTTGGCAATTACTAAGCACCTATTACAGGTGTCAGGTGATAGGGAACAGCACTGAGGAAGACCCGGGTCCTGCCCACACTTGGCCCTGCCCACACTTGGCCCACAGACTAGCAGGCAAGTCAATAATTAGCTGTCACACAAAGCCCTAAGTACGATGACAGGGACAGTGCTCGGACCACATGGGGATGCCACAGCACTCTGCCTAAGAGTCCATCAAGTCTCAGGAGCCTGGGCAGTGCAGCTGCCATCTCTCCGGTGGCATTTACAAAGTCCAGGTGGCTGTCAATGCAGAGAAGAGCCCTTGCCCAATCTGCCACGCAAGAGCCAGGGTACGAAGTGAGCACCTGACCAGGGGCACCACTGTCCTCTCCCCAAGGCTGGTCCCCCGTACGCCGCCCCCCCACCCCACCCCACAGGCCACAACCACAGTTGTCCCTGAGATACCAACCAGATCACTTTCAAAGTCTTGTGGCCCTACGGAGGACAGTGACGACGATCTCTGGAATCTGGATTCACTAGAAACACAAAAGGACAAAAACTCAGATAATTCTTTTTAAAAATCTAACCCAGTCGGTGTGGCTCAGTGGATTGAGTGTTGTCCCATGGACTGAGGATGGCCTGAGAGGTCCCAGTTCAATTCCCGGTCAGGGCACATGCCCAGGTATTGGGCTTGATCCCCAGTAGGCAGGAGGCAGCTGATCGATGTTCCTCACATCCATGTTTCTCTCTCTCTCTCCCTCTTCCTCGCTCTAAAAAAAATCAATAAAAACATTTAAAAACCAAATAAATAAAATCTAAAAATGTATGTACAGTATCTTGCTACTTCATGGAGCTCAGGACCAAAGCTACTAGCCCTCAACGGCCGGGACAAAATATAACTCGCCCTGTGGAAAATACAGACAAGGGCAATGTCTACCTGGGTGAGTGACACATAAAACTCTTATATTACAACATGGGGTCAGGACACCCTTGACCCTCAGCACTACGACTGGTTTACCTAAAGTGCTTCAAAATGTTGCCGATTTTCAAGATATTTCCCAATATAGCAAGAAAACTTGGAATAAATGCTGTATTTTATCAAATCTAAGGCACCACTGGTATAAGAGGCATAATTATGAACCACGAAGAATGAAAAACTGCTACCATTTCAACTATAACCACCGATAATAATAAGTTGCGTTCTAATTTCAGAGACAAGAAAATGTCAGAATGCACATTTTGGAGTTGATGAACTCTGGCATTTTATACTGTGGCATTTTAATCGGCTCTTTTCTTCCGAGTAGCCTGTAAGAACTCCCCGAGTGCTGTGAACTGAAGGTGTTTGCATTTTTGCTTCTATCTGGGCTCCACCTTCCCACTCCTAGTGGCATGAGACACCGTGAAACTTCCCTTTCAAAGCCTTTCCAGAGAACTGTCTCATTGGGCCTTCAGGAAGCCTGCAGGGAAGAAAGAGCAAAAGGAACCCCCCCCAAAGTTTGGGGACTCGTGCTCAGCCCCTCCTAGGGGTGAATGTCCCCAAAATGCATCAGATATCCCAAAAGGTTTCCCTAACAGTCTAAGGCTCCAACACAACTGAAGCAAGAGGCCCCCCACCTTACCCCAAGGTTAACACCCTCAGGCTTTTGCAAATACCAGAGCAGAGACTGCGGAGAAGAAGGTCCATTTACACATGTACCCTCGCCCCTCCCACAAAGACCACATTCAACACGGGGCAGCCTGTGGAGCAAGAGTGGAGGGTCTGGCCCTGGCCAGGCTGGCTCAGCAGTTAGAGCGGCCTGCGGATCAGTGAGTCGCAGGTTCGATTCCGGCCAAGAGCACGTACTTTGGTTGTGGTCCGTCCCGTGCGGGAGGCAACCAGTTGATGTGTCCCTCTCACGTTGATGTTTCTCTCTCTTCCTTTCTCTCCCTCTCTCTCCCTTCCACTCTATCTGAAGATAAATGGGAAAATATCCTTGGGTGAGAATTATTTTTTTTTTTATTTTTTTTTTTTATTTTTTTTTTTTTATCCTCACCCAAGGATATTTTTCCATTTTTTGTACAGATAGAGTGGGAGGGAGAGAGAGGAAGGGAGAGAGAGAGAGAAACATCGACGTGAAGGGACACATCGAGTGGTCGCCACCCGCACGACCAACCAGGGCCGGGGACAAACTGCAACCGAAGTACGTGCCCTTAGCGGGAACCGAACCCGGGTCTCTCCAGACCGCAGGCCGACGCTTTAACCGCTGAGCCAAACTAGCCAGGGCGCTTGGGTGAGAATTTAAAAAAAAAGAATGGAGGGTCTGCCTGGTGATAGCAGAGGGGCACTGGGCAGCCTGGACCAGTCGTGTGTCTTCCATTCACTCCCTGTTGACACAAGATACTGGATAGGTGACAGCCAGCTGGAGCTGGACACGCCACTGGTGCACTCGAGAACTCATTTCCCCCTTTGGGTGATGTGAGCAGACAGCCCTCGGCGCCCAGGATGGAAGGGGAAGGACCCAAGACCTGTAGTTCGTAACTGACTCATCCAGGCCCGGCTGAGTTAGGGCCTCGGCCAGCCCGAACCCAGAGGGTCAGGAACAGGTCCTCCACGGCCTGCAGCCCTTCCTAACCAGGCCCAGGCCTGCGCTAATTACTTACAAGAAGATACACTTGAAAATATTCAAGGTCAGAAAGAAAACTGGCCTCCTGTAACAACAATTAATTAATAAAAATTTTTTTAAAAAGAAAGAACGAAAACTAGCCTCCCCCTCAGTTGATTTTGAAAGCCCGAATTATCTACAGGAACAAGATTTCCTTCTTAGCCTGAAGCCTGCAAGGTTCGTGGCCACAGCCAGGCCACAGCCCCAACAGAGAGCTGGGCGTGTGGGCACAGTGACAGTAACAAGGCTGGCCTCATGGGTCTGCGGTGTGTGCAGAGCAGACAGACACAACGTCTGGTACAGACCTGGCGAATGTACTCAGTGAACATGATGTAACACCAGTATCGTGTGTGGGTCCTTCCTGGTGGGCTTCCCAGCGCCCAGGCCACCCCAGTTCTCTCTCTCTCTCTCTCTCTCTCTCTCTCTCTCTCACACACACACACACACACACACACTAACTTGCATTTGAGGTAATATGTCTTTTTTTTTTACCTGCCAGCTTCTGACACCAGAGCAATGCGCCCATAATCCCAGAATCGTCTTCTTATGATGGAAAACAGCAATATTAAAAACTAAAAGTAGAAAAGAAACCAAGTGAAAGCACATCACATGGCTTCTCATGAGAAGAGACAACTGTCTATGGGCACAGCACACTTGCCTAGATTCAGCAGGGTAGAAGGGCCCGGAGGTTATCCAAGCCCAGAGAGGGTGCTAAGCGGCCCAAAGCCACACAGCTCAAAGGCCTGATGCTTTGCTCACCCCCTCCCCCAGGTCTTACCACTTGTTCCCAAGTCACGAAGGCTCTCCCGCTGGCCCTGAGCTTGCCCTGGCGCCCTCCTGGTCAAGCACCTTGGCCCTGTCCTTGGCTAGCCGGGCAGCCTCAACAGCCGCGACCTTACTCAGCTCTGACCTGTCTTCAGGGCCCCTGAGCAGGAAGATGTGGCCCCACAGCAGCCCTGGGGAGCAGCTTTACTTTCCTCCTTCCCTTTACGGAGAATTTCATTTTTAATTACAGAATCAAAACAGCAGAGCACTCGGGCTGAGCCAGAAGTTGGCGACGTACTTTCAAAGGCAGTGAGTCACGTTGCAGGACAAGGCGCTGCTCTGCCAGGCCCTGCCCGCTCTGCCCAGCTGCTGCCTCCTTGGCCACGTGATGTGGACACTTCCCGTGAGGCCAGGTTTTCCCCCCCACCATCCCCAGCTCTTCTGTGACCCCCCCATATCTTCCTGCCATAAAAATCCACCCCACTCCCCAGCACACTCCCCTGGACAGCAACTCTGTGCTCTCAACCCACCTTCTCCCAAACAGACCACACCCAGCCCGCCTAGGGTCCCTGCCCATCCTCCCTCCACAGCCTTCTCACCTGGCCCAGACTCTCCTGTCCCTGAAAACGCTGCATTACAGCTCCAGGGCCACCCTCCTCCATGAACCCCACATCCTCAGATCCACCCCCACACGCCTGCCCACTCTTCCCTCTCAATCTACAAACGACCACGGCTCCACCACACGGGTGATTTGGCGCTCAAGGAACCCTCTTCCATTAAAGCAACATGAAGCACGCAGGTTCCTACATCAGCCCCCCCAGGACCAACAACGTAGCGAAACTCGAATGCACACATTCAGACCTTAGTCCCAGGGACCAAACTGGAAAGAGAAGGAGGAAGAACTCCCCCACCCGCATCCTGCAGACAGTGTTTTTGCCAGCAAACATGTTTGATACTTGTCTCTTTCCCTTGGAAACTGGGACCCTCATGCTACCCTAACTCCCCCTCCCCCACCCCCACCTAGGCTCTGTCCCAAAGGCATCCCAGGGGGTCTTCTCCTCTGCTCCATCCCACCCCACTGGCTCACATGGTCTTCTCTACATGTTAGGAGGAGGCATCAAGAGGGACCAACCGTCTCATGGATGTTTGTGAAAAGAAGGTGCCCCTTGGCCCAGTAAATTTCGCCTGGCCAAGGCTGAGTCCATATAAGAAAGAAAAATGGCCTGTTTCAAATTGGGGGGTATCCTTGGGAACATAACAGACTAACTCAGTGATAAGCAAAGGAACAGTGACCTGTGCTCTTTCCATACCTTGTCTTATATAATCTTCTCTAAACTCTCTGAAGTAAGAATTATTAGTTCCATTTCAAAGACCAAAAACCTGAGGCCCAAAATAGCCATGTAACATACTCCGGTAAGTAGCAGAGTCAGGATATAAACCCAGGTACGTCTGGCTCCTCGCCTGAGTTTCTCAGAAGGCCCTGGGTGGGGGTTTAACTAAACAAATAACTGGGGTGGGGGGACATGGTGCACAAAGGTCTTACCAGGAAGCAGCTGACATCTATGAGCAAAACAACAGGGATGCCACCGAAGGGGACCCCCTGGAGCACCGTGCTGTTTTTGGCCGAGTTGTAGCAGTAGGAGTCATTGGGATGGTCCCTAATGCCCAGTCGGTCCCGGCTGGACACCGCCTTGGACTGCCACAGGTCCAGGAACGGGGAGTCAGTCATCATGCCTGTCATCCGTGAAGAACAGGACCAAGCAGACGGTCAGAATGCAAACTCCCCTGTAGTGTCCCCAGCCTACTGGCAGAGCCAAAGCTGGTGTCTTCTCCAGGGCCTGGTGCGGCGCAGGAAGCAAGGGATCGGGGAGAGGCAGACACCAGACCCCCGCGTACCAGGCAAAGTCTACAGAAAATAGCTCCATTGTGGGAACAATCCTAAGGGTCAGATGGATGGGGCGATGGCTCATGCAAGACACAGCTGGCAGCCTGCCCAGAGGGGGGAAACAGGAGGAAAGAGAGCTGCTGTGTCTGCCTGCTTAGGAGGTGCCCAAGTTCCTCCAGCCTCCAAAACTACAGCTGGCACGGTAACTCCCGCGGGAGCCACTGGAAACTGAGGCTCAGAGGCTTAACAACCTGCCCCAAGATCAAGGAGCTGGTCCTGGCAGAATCAGGTCTCAGACCCAGACTCCTGACTCACAGATGCCACATCTCTTTCTACTCTTCTACGCTCCCACACCAGCGGGCAGACAAACACGTTAGTTCAGTGCGAGATTAAAGGCCTGGGAAGGGGCAGCCAGAGAGAAGAAGTGAGAACGGAGGAGAGAGCGAAGGGGGTGATCCAGGGTGAGAATGCAGACAAAGTCTCAGGACTTCCACAGGGACCCTGAGTCACCCACTGAGCTCCCCCGACTCCGCCCTCTGACCCCTGCACTTCTGAGTACCTTTGGTCTAAATGGAAGGCCTAAAATGTCCAAAGCAAACATTGTCCCAGGCTAGCTGCTGACCTCTCCTCTCCTGGCTCCCGGTGCCCTTGGTGAAGCTAATGAAAAGCTCCAGTGTGTCTCCTGGCACCAAAGGCCCCGGAATTAGTGCCTCGCTTCGGCCTCCTCTGTGGCTGAAGAGCCAGGAGACACACTCAGCAAACCCTCCCTCCGGCCTCCACCTTCCCAAACCTGGTTGAACCGGATTCTCAGGGGATTTCTACTGGGTCTGGTCTCTCTACCTGGTACAGGGACAATAGTCTTGGGGACAAGAAGAAAAGGTACAAGGAGCCCAGACAGAAGTCTGCGCTCCTGATCATGCTGGCGAGTTGTGTGCTGGCCGGGGTGGTCCCCAGTTCTGACCCTGGGACTGCTGGGCTGGGAACAATCTCATACACACAGAAGTGCAGGCAGGGGGAGGGGGAGGCATGTGGCGGGTCCCCGTTACGGGAGGATTCCCCAGAAGACCAGGTCACTTTCTCACCACTATGCAACCTGGAGGGTGTGGTGCCAGAGCCATGGAGTTGGTGGCTCTGAACAGAGTCACAAAAGCTACCTCTGGGAGACAGATGGTGGCTTCCCTCCTTTAAACCCCACCCAGGGGCACCATCCAACCAAACACCCCAGCCAGAGGCTGGGAAGCCAGGCCTGCCCCTCCTCCTGTCCCCACACTTACCAGACGCCAGGAATGTGAGGACTGTGGATGAGACCCCGGGCGAGGTCCTCAGCGGCAGCTGGCTCTGGGGAAAGCAGCCGTAGCCCTGGCCACCTCCCGAGCTGCTCCGGGCCCACCACTCATTGCCTGCAGGGCTTTCCTGACCACAGGGTCATGGGCCACCTGCCTTTACAGACTCTCCTGAAAGACACAGACAAGCAGTCATGTGGAAGCAGCCTCTTCCACGGCAGTTCTGGCCTGAGACCCTCCGGCACACGCCCCCCACTCACACCTGCCCGACGGCTCTGAACTCAAATGCTCACATGGACTCTCTGGGCACCCTCCTGTCCTGGCCTCTCCCCCAACTCAGCACTGGTTCTAGACCCACACTCCTCTGTGCCACGCACTCCTTCCTCCGCACCCAGCATCCGCCGGGGCTCCAGCCTCTCCCCGCTTCTCCTATGGCTCGAGGCCCTGCTGGGCCCAGGGCAGTGGTTTGCTCCCCACCCCCACCCCAAGCACCGGAGGCTGTGGGACTCTGAGTTGAGGATCTCATCTGAGCCCCAAGGGTGGCTGCAGCCAGGGACAGGGCAAGACAAACAAGGAAGGCTTGAAAAGTGAAGTGGTAAGAACATCCTCACAAAATGCTCACAGAGGGAGCACTGTCCCTGGGAAGAGGTGGCAGCTGTTGTGGGGTGCTGGGGGCGGGACAAACCCCGCCAGTGCTGCTTTATGCCGAGCTCTGGGGCAGCGGAGGCCCCGTGGAAGGAAGACACTTCCTCTTCCTCCTTTAGCCCAGTCATGCCTCCAAGCCCCTCTCCTCCTGCCAAACAGGATCCCTCGGCGGGGGGTTTACAAAGTTTGATAAGAAGTCAGTGAGGTCAGCCAGCAAATACTGCCAGCCTGGGAGCCTGTCCCACCAGCCCCCTCCAGGTGACGTGCCCGGGTGACAGCACGTCTCTCTCAGACCTCTGAGCGCAATTGTGGCTTGTCCCTGCCTGTTACACAGGTAAAGCCCAGATTCTGCTGCGACATCATAGTCCCTCCAGGGCCAGCATCTCTACATCTTCCGGAAAAAGCACCTTCTGAGAGGGTAGCCCTGTTAGGCTGAGAAGAAGGGAGACAAGGAGAGAGGGGACTCGGCTAACCGTGATCAGGAGTAGCTGGCTCGGTGGGTGAAACACTGATAGTTCTAGGCAGGGGCCGAGCCAGCAAGTAGGCCCTGTGGTCACAGGAGCCCTGTCTGACCGCTACCTTCACAATATTCGGTCATTCAATATTTGTTTGATACGCCTTCCCGAGAGGTCTGTATTCATCATCTCATTCCTAGCCAAGACTCTGAGTGCAGGAGAGCCAAGGATTCCTGCTGAGCCGGGTCCGCAGCAGGTGACTCAGGCCTCCGACTCAAAGTTCAGTCCCTGTGCACCCCAGAACCTGACTGTGGTCAGTGGGTCCAACAGCTGTTCTCCAACCTGCCAATGAAGTCAACCACCAATGCTGAGCTGGCAGCAAGGACTGGCCCCTGTAGCACACCTGAAGATCTCTGTTTCTTCCAGAAATACTGACAGAATGCAGCAAGAAGTGCGTGAACATTATTGGCTCTCACAAGAAGGCTCTGTACCAACTCAAGGTATTTTTAATATCACCGAATCTTCGGACTTGGTTACGACTATAGGACTACAAGCAGCCCTTCTGCCACAGCAGCTAACTCATCTAGAGCAGGGATGGGGAACCTTTTTTCTGCCAAGGGCCATTTGGATATTTAGAACATCATTTGTGGGCCATACAACATTATCAACCTAAAAATGGGCCTGCTCTATTTGGTCAGGCGCGTGATATTAGCTGGTATTGATTTCTAGGGCCTTATACAGCCCGTGGGTCGGATGTTCCCTGCCCCCATTCTAGAGGCAGAAGAAGGTTGCAAAGTAAACACAAACTTCTCCTTAAAGTCACCAAACAGGACCCAGGAACCAGGACAACTGTTGACCTCCACATATGTCAGCCCTGGAGCTGTGATGAGAGGCCAGTGCAGCTGGCATTTACCAGAACAGGCTCTGGAGTTAGGGTCCCAGCGCCATGTCTCTTAGACAAGTGGGTTGCCCACTCTGTGCCTTGGCTTCCTTCTCCATAAAGTGGGGATGATGATGTTTCTCTTGCAGGGCTGATGGGAGGCACACACCTGAGACAATGCCCATAAAGCACTTGGCCAGCCCTGTGAACATTCAAAAGCCATCTGCTTTTAAGTCTCCGCCAGCCAATGGGAAAACAGCAGGACCCCATCTGATGTGTTCCCTGTTAGAGCCCAGTGAACAGCCAAGAGAGACCTTTGTCCCACCACTAAACAAGGTGTGTGTGTGGGGGGGGAGGGGGGACAGGCGGCCTCTGCTTCTGTTCACATTCACCTCAAGGCAGAAGCCCACTTCAGGACTCTGACAGGGGTCTGAGGAGGGGAGAAGAGGGAAAGACAGTGGGGCTTGCGGAGGGAGGAGGGAAAAGCAGTAAGGGATGACCTGAGTCCTTCCCCAACCCTGAGGGAGCCAAAAAGGTCCAGGATGCTTCCCACAGGCCCCTTGTGTCCACTGGACCTGGGACTCCTGAGCACAACCCACTGGCTTAACCTCAAACCCTCAACACTGCAGGGGTTGGGACACAGCTGCACAACTTCAGGGTGGAAGGAAGCTGCCAGATGATTTGGTCAACCACAATGGGGATTCCTACCCTTGTGGGCACCGCCTGGGGCTGAAATATGGAGGCCACCCCAGAGTCTCAGGTAGCCAGTCTTATCAGGTACTGGAACCTGGGTGGTTCTGGATTCTCAGCAGAGTTCTGCCCACTCTCCCCGTCCCTCCCCCAAACTCCCGGCCTCCCTCCTGGGGACTCCACCCGGGCTGTAGGAAGTGGTGACCGAGGCGCAGACAGACCCAAGGTGGTTTCAACCTTCCCACCGGCTGGGGACACAGACGCCTGGCCCTTTCCCAGGCCTGCCACGCATATCGTTCCAGAAGGAAGAGCTCCGAGGCTGAGCTCCGGGTTAGGCTGGGAGGTCGGCATCCAGCTGACAAATCTCCAAAGACGGGAGGGACAGGGGAGGAGTTGGGTAAAAGCGCAGAGCTAGAGCCTCGGGAGGAAAGTCGGGAAAAGCTGTCAGGGAGTTCGGGGGAGCGCGGGGCTGTGCGGCTGCGGCGGGGGTACTGACCCTCTGCTCCCACCAGCCGGCTGGGAAGTGGGGGCTGCGGGGTTCCAAGGGCCGTGCCCGGAAACCTAACACTTGACGTGGCACCCCTGCGCAGAGCCCAGGTCCCTCGCGTTTGAGAACGACGGAGGGCGACATTCCCCCTGCCCAACAGCCCCTTCCCACTCTACCTGCGGCGGGGGTGCAGCTGGCGCGGCGCGAGGACGCGGTCTGGCTCCACCTGGCCCCGCGGAGCGCCGTCCCGAGCACTTGAAAGTTACAAAGTGAAACTCCGGCGCCTCCTGCACATGCGCAGAGCGGCGGCCACTGCTTGCCCAATTTGCAGCCGCCGCCGGTGCGGGCGTCCACACGGAGGCCGCCGCCCGCGCCCGGGCCGTGCGCCCCTTGGCGGTCCTCGGCCTTTGGCCCCGCAGCTCACGTCCAGGGGCCGAGGAGGACGTCGCCGGGGCGAATTCCGCTCATCAGGACCCCTGCATGTCCCCATACCCCAGGCACCTGGGGAGACCCCGGCCACGCACAGGTGGTCGCGACCCGGGGAGGCGCTGCGAGAGCATTCGCAAACCTTCGTGTCCTCCCTGTTTTGCACTTTATCTCCTCGACGGCTCCTAGGCCGCCCCGGGGAGTGGGGGGATCTCGGCTGGGCTTGGCACGTCTGCTCTGGGCAGGCTAAGGCCACCAGGTGCCGCTGCAGAAGGCTGCAGCTCCCCTGCCGCCGTAAGGGACTGATTCAGGGACCTCGGTGTAGCCCCAAACGGAAGTTACACGGGATTGCCTAGGCCCAGGCTGCCAGGGTCACCGATCTGGCCCAGCTCGCTGAGCGCGGCCTGTCTCCGGGCCTGGGTACCAGGCTGCCCTCCCCAACTAGACTGTAAACTGGCCGAGGGCGCTGAAGTGTGCACTGGGCAGGGCACAGGACTGGGCTCCGTGGGGACGCGCGCTCTGTGCGACTGGAGAGCCCCGCCTGCCTGTCTGGCGCGCAAACTGCCCTCCTCCGCGGGCCTCCGTTTTCGCATTTGCAAAACCTGGGGCTGCACCGAAGCTTCCTCCTAGGTCCTTTCTAAGACTAAATCGGTCAATCCTGACCAGCTTTTCACGCACACGTGTGCAGCTTTGCAGGTTCTGGCCCTCTCTTCCATTTCTGGGCTCTCATCTTTTATTGTGAGGATAAATGTCTTCTCCTCTCCCTGCCCAGGATCCTAGCACCAGCCTGTGGCTCTCTGGGAGGGGTGGCGGGGGTGGGGGTCTCCTCCTGTTTTTCTGACAGTTCTTTTCTGTCCCATCTGGATTCCTCCTCTCCCTCCCCTCAAACCCCAGCTACTAGTCATTATCCAGTTTGCCCTTGACCCCTGGGCTCAGCCCTTGTCCCTCCATACCTGTGCCTGGCCATCTCTCCTCTCCTGCTGTGCCTCCTGCTGTCAAGGGCCCCCCAGGTTCCTGGTGTGGCCCCTAGCTCCTCAGACTGACCTGACCATTCTCTTCACATCCCTACACACCCCCTCCCCCCCACACACACACCTGTTGGTCCTCATTTCTTCTCTGCCTCAATGAAACCCCGGGGGAAGAACAAGGTTCTAACCCCAGTAATTAGAACGGTGAAGCCACTGACAAAAAGAAAGTTAGGCTGTTTGATTTCAGAGAGAAAAAGGATTTCTAAATCTGATTTTCACTGGGTTAAGTTTATTTCAAAATCAACAGAAGTCTAAAATGGACCAGAATTGAGTTCAAATAACTTTAGCCCCTGTTATGCATCATGCAGGGTGTGAAGTGCTTGTAAAAACATTACTTCCTTAAAGCTCCAGTAAATATATGGAAGTCAGGGCTTTTCTTATTTGATAGAGAAAGAAACGGAGGTTTAAAGGGTATAGAATTTACAGCTAATAAGAGCTGTGCAGACTAGCAAGGAGTCTAAGACCTCGATGCCCCAGGCTGGCTTCCTACATCAAAGTCACAGCTTAAAAGTCCCTGTAATCTTGACATTCTAAAATGTTGTATCTACCAGTTTCAACACTTGCTCCTTTTATCTGCCCCAAAATTTAAAGGAGTGACCCACATTATTGTAGTACTGATGATTTGGATCAGATGTTCTTATTTTATAGCAAGTAGAATTGAAATAAAGCCCACTCACTGTGCCCAGAAAAGTAAAAATGTCAACAACAATGACAAAAATATTTCTGCTTCAATTCTAAGAGGACGGGCACACTAGAATCTGAATGTGTTTCAATCCTAGCTTCCTGTTTTACTTAACTGAGACTTTGACCATGTCTATTTTTTTTTTTTTTTTTAGCTCTTTCCTTCGTTTTCTAATCAGGTTGACCTAGTCCCCATAGAACTTTGTTTCCTCACAATTATCAGGCTTCTTGGTAAAAATAGAAATACAGAATAGCCTGACCAGTGTGGTTCAGTGGATTGTCCCATGGACTGAGAGGTCGCCAGTTCAATTCCCAGTCAGGGCACATGCCCAGGTTTCAGGATCAATCCCCAGTAGGGGGCATGCAGGAGGCAGCCAAATGATGTTTCTTTCTCATATGGATGTTTCTATCTCTCTCTCTAAAAAAATCAGTTTGGCTCAGGGGTAGAACGTGGGCCCGCAGACCAATGAGTCATGGTTTTGATTCCAGCCAAGGGCATGTACCTCAGTTGCAGTTTGTCCCCAGCCTTGGTCTGGGTAATGCGGGAAGCAGCCATTCGATGTATCCCTTCACATCGATGTTTCTCTCTCTCTTCCTCTCTCTCCCTCCCACTCTATCTGAACAAAAATTGGAAAAATGTCCTTGGGTGAGGATAAAAAATAAAAAAAATACAGCCCAGCCAGTGTGGCTCAGTGCTTGAACTTTGACCCATCCACCAAGAGGTCACCGGTTCAATTCCTGGTCAGGGCACATGCCCAGGTTTCAGGCTCCATCCCCAGTGGGGATGGTCATGCAGGAGGCAGCCAATTGAAGTGTCTCTCTCACAGTGATGTTTCTTTTTCTCTCGCTCTTCCTCCTTCCTTCTTCCCTCCCTCCCTCCCTCTGTATTTGAAGATAAATGGAAAAATATCCTGTGGTGAGGATTAAAGAAAGAAAGAAAGACCGAAGAAAATGTATTTTATTTGTTTCTTGCAAAATGCCCTTAGTATCTGAGATGGGAGCGCACAACTCCTACTTGACCCTAGGTCCTAAGCCCCGAGTGGCAGCTGGATCTCTGGCCCGGACCACAGAGCTCAGCCAGATCCTGTGACAGGACAAGGAAACAATGACAAACTGGAGTTTCTGTTCTTACATGACAGAATCTACTAAGGTAAGTGCTTAGGATACAGTGCAGTGAATAATATGAAGCGAGAAGACTGAGCAGGGGCCACCCAGTGACCAGGGAGTCTTGTTCCTGGGAAGCAAATACTAGGAGGTGAGCTGACTGGTCAGAGGAGCAAATTCTGAGCTCAGTAGAAAGCACAGAGCATTTGCCCATCAGTTCTCTCCTGGTACCTAGAACACTTGGTACGCGCAGGAGCCAAGTCCCATGGAGGCAGGTATGCCCAGTGCCTACGGCTCCAGCTTCCTTGGCACCAGCGCCCCGTCCGAGGCGCAGCTGCACTTCTGCACCCTCATGTTGGGCAGGCTGACCACCTGGGGCCGGGGCCTGCCTCCCTCCTTGATGCTGACGATCATGGGCAGTGAGGTCGTCTCTGAGGCGATGCACTGCCTCGGCCCCAGGAACGGCCACTTGAAGGTCAGGGCCTCCGGGGGCTGCTGGCAGGTGCCCACACACTCGTAGGCCAGGAAGCCGGGGGGCTCCAGGACCCAGTTCTCAGCCCACTTCATACCCTGCAGGTCAATGTACATCTCTTGGCGGCAGCAGCGGGTGCCCTGGGTCACTGGTGCCTCAGCATCGCAATTGCCCTGAGCTCTGTGGGGGCAAGGAGAGGTGGGGTCAGAGGTCAGTTGGGAGGGCTGAGATCAGGGGACCCAGGGCAGGGGTTAGTGGGGCACCTGAGAGGGAGATGTGTGATCCATCTCTCATGATGTAAAAAAAAAAAAAAAAAAAAAAAGCTGAATATGTGTGATAACTGATAACTGGAAATAACCAAAATATAAATAATAATGGGATATTACTCCTAAGATTCAAAGGAGAAATTGTATATACTCATTCATTCCCACAGCACCCTAAGAAAAGATGTCCATTTCAATTTACATATAATTCTCTATCTGGCTTGTTAATTAGCACAAACCTCCCCCCCTTGACCCATAGCCTTACCCGAAATCCCTGAGGTTCAGGGTGTGCAGCTCCAGCTGGGGCTCGCCCTGCCCATTGCCCAGGGGCTCCTGGGAGGCCAAGCGGACCAGCTTGTGGGCGCTGGAGGCCAGCGGGCCCAGGTGCTCCCTCTGCACCGACACCTGCAGCAGCAGTGGCTCCTGGGGCCGGCTCAGCTGCTGCCAGAAGTTCACGGCCTCGGTCACGTCGAAGGCCTTCCAGCCGCTCTCGCGGATGGACACCAGCCTGCCACACCAGGAGACAGAGCCAGAGCTAAGGGGTGGGGTCTAGGGAAGCCTCTCCCACCTTCCTCGGGCAGGGCCCAGACAGGATGTGCCCCCGACTCCCCCCACTCTGGGCTCAGCCCCTCTCCTTTACCCTCCTCCCCATACACACACACCCCAACCACGACCTCCCACCTGGAGTCGATGAGCGCGGTGCGGTTGGAGCCGTCCTTGCGGACCTGCAGCCACTCCACGGTGACCCGGGCCCAGTCGCTGCGCGGGGAAAGCCGTTCATGCCTGCGGAGCGCCGCCTGGGGGACCGGCTCCTGGAAGAGGCGCAGCACGGCCTGCACCAGCTCGCTGTTGGGGGGCAGCCGCTGCTCCATGATGAACACCAGCAGGTGCGTGGAGGCCTGGGACACCAGGAACCTGCCGGCCACCTCTGGGGACAACAGCAGAGTCAGCGGGACTCCAGGCACCAGGGAACTCTGAGTGGCAGGGCCCAGAACCTGGGAACAGGGTTTCAGCAATGCACAGGGAGAATCTGCAGCCTGGGAAACTGGCGGCCAGGGGAGGAGAATACCTCCACCTTAAAACGACTTCCGGGCCAGCCCGGTTCCCTAAAACAGTCCGTTGCAGTTAGGGCTTGTTTCCTAGCAGCCAGGACCCCCCCTCAGTGGGTAGGGGCAGCTTTGGGCCCCTGGGGGAGTGCACATGCCATATGCAGCCTTCTTTTTTTTAATCCTCACCCAAGGACATTTTTCCACTTTTTGTTCAGTTA